TACCAAAGTCAATTCCAGATGTACTAAGCAGTTAAATGTCACGAGTAAAATAAAATCAAAGTATTAAAAATGGAAACTAGAAGAAAACAAAGGTAAGCATAAAAACTCTGGGTCAGAAAAGACTTTCTTAGCTTAAACATTATGTAAAAGATGAGGAAGGAAACACCTAATTTGACTTTGCTGAACATCCCAAGTTATTTATAATTTTTTAAATTGTGAGCTCTGAGGGTTCTCCAGCCTCTTGTTGCTCAGGACCTGACATTTTACGCCTTAGTCCAACCCAACCACTGAAGTTCTCCTAACAGACCTGCTCTCTGGCCTTGTTTGTAGGTGTTTTCTCTGCCTGGAATGCCTTTTCCCACCTTGTCCCTTGTTGCTCCACTAATTTGCTCAGCATCAATACTCAGTTCAGAATCATCTCCTCTGTGAAGCCTTTCCTGGCCCCTACATGAGAATTGACCACTCACCTCTTTCAGTGCATGCTCTTTCAGTCTATACTGCTCACACTTCTAATGGAAACCCTATTGCACTCATTGCTCACCTGCCTGCCTCCCTCTATTAAACCTTAAGATCATTAAGGGCAGGGACTGTGTCTGTGCCATCCTTGGCACTTTGGGGAGGCTTAGATAAACGTGTTGAAATGGATGTTGAAGGCAAATTTCGAACTGGGGGAAATATCTACCATAAAGATGACAAACAATGGGGCACCTGGGTGGCTCAGTCGTCAAGCGTCTGCCTTCTGCTCAGGTCATGATCCCAGGGTCCTGGGATCGAGCCCTGCATCGGGCTCCCTGCTCAGCAGGAAGCCTGCTTCTCCCTCTCCCCCTGCTTGTGTTCCCTCTCTTGCTGTCTCTCTCTCTGTCAAATAAATAAATAAAATCTTTTTTTAAAAAAGATGACAAACGATAGATTTATATTTTTTGTAGAGAGCCCAAACAAATAAAGCATTAACATCTTAAAAGAGTAAGGAACAATTAAGTTCACAGATGAGGGGATGGAAATGGCCAAGTATTAAACCCTATCAGTGATCCAATAAATATAAGTTAAAAGCAGGTATCATTTCATCTATCAATTTAGTCAAAATTTTCCCATTTTAAAACAACCCAGGACTGGCCAGGGTACAGTGAAATAGGTACTCTCTCATACTCTTGGTGTGAGTTGACAGTAGGTATTGAGGACTTGAAATGTTTTTATGCCTTTTGAACTAATGATCACCCTTCTGGGGAGAGTTTTACTTAGGAAATAATACAAAAGAAAAAGTTTTGCTCAAAATTTTTCATGGCAGTGTGGTTTATAACAACTAAAAGCTGGAAACCTAAGTGTCCGAAAAAGAGAAAATGTTAAGAAATTGTATTTTCTTAGAATATTATGCAGCCATTAAACATTATCGTGTTTATAAGTAACTTAATGGCATGGACATTTTTATGCTAGAAAGAGAACTGAAAAAAGAAAGATAAAAAATTTAAAATTCAGAATGATCTTAAATCCTGGGAAAACTTAAGCACAGAGTGAAGAGTTGAGTATTCCTACAATCACTGTTTCTGATGTTCAGACTTAGTCTCTCAAGTCATGATGAGAAAGAAAAAGCCTGGGTGTCATTACAGATGTTGGATGGATTTTCAAATGCTTCAGATTTCACCAGAACAAAACAGATCAGAAAGAAGTTTCAGATTTTTGCTTTGGTCTCAAAGATCATGGTCTCATGTCTATAAAAGGAAAGCAATGTTGGAAGACTGGGGAAATGTCCTGAATTGAAATTTTAATAACTACTGAAATTATAGGATACTGAGGTTTTATGAAAGTGGATTCCAAAGACTTCAAAAACGTGAATTAAGCTTACTTGTATTTTCCCCTCCTTTCTCTTCTTTTCCTTAAATTTCAAGCTCTTATACTAAAATGGAACTTGCAAAGTTGAGACAAGTGACTGGAAAATTGGAATAGTCCTCTTCATTTAAATAAAAGGGTCACACATATATTGAATGTATTATTTGCTGATTACCACATATGGTTGTCTGATGTAGTAAAGTGAATTCACAGAATATATTTCCTAAGAAAAGAAACAGATGAGAGGAAAAATACTGAAAGTGTTAATAGTAGTTGTTTCTGGAGGGATGAGCTTCTGGATGCTTTCCCCTCTCTCTCCACCTTTCTATGTCCCTTGCACATAGTGGATGCTCGATGTTATTTGTTGATTAAACACATTTTCCACATTAAAAATATTTTACATATGTTAAAATTATTTTAAATTTTTTTTTTAAGATTTTATTTATTTGCGAGAGAGAGAATGAGAGACAGAGAGCATGAGAGGGAGGAGGGTCAGAGGGAGAAGCAGACTCCCTGCTGAGCAGGGAGCCTGTTGTGGGACTCGATCCTGGGACTCCAGAATCATGACCTGAGCCGAAGGCAGTCGCTTAACCAACTGAGCCACCCAGGCACCCTGTTAAAATTATTTTAAATAACTAAGTCCATAGTTTACTTGTCAATTCTAGGAATCTCACAAGACCCTAATCTCACAAGACCCTAATCAATATTCATTCACTGATTTACTCAACAGTTACTACGTACAGTGCAATGCAAGATGCTAAGTAAACATTAAATTAGATACCATCTGTCTTCTCAAAGAATTTGCAGTTTAGTAATAATGACTTTGGGCTCCTCTCTGCATGGTTGTTTTCCTTGTTCTACCATTTTCCCCCCACCTACTTTTGAACCTGAAAGCGTCCAGTATATTTCCTCCCCAGAAGTCCAAGGCATAAAACTGGGCCGATGCCTCCCTAGTAACAACCAGAGTCCCCTCCACTTGCCTTTGTTGAGTCTTTTAATGTCTCTTTTTTTGAAGCTACTATTTACAGAGTTCTTCTATACAACAGTACTAGGCATTTCTACATCTTCTCTCATTTAACTCTAACAATATTATTTTTTTTTTAGAATTTTATATATTTTAATTTGCATAAGTGATATCTCACTATATGAAAGTTTCTCTAATATTGGTTTTTACTTAAATAAAACTTTGTAGGTTTAAGATCAATACTATGATGAGACTTGTTCATCATTTTAATTATTATACAACCTTCCATTGTATGACTACACCATATTCTTTTAACATTTTTTTTTAAGATTTTATTTATTTATTTAAGACAGAGAGAATGGGAGAGAGAGCACATGAGAGGGGGGAGGGTCAGAGGGAGAAGCAGGCTTCCTGCTGAGCAGGGAGCCCGATGCGGGACTCGATCCAGGGACTCCAGGATCATGACCTGAGCCGAAAGCAGTCGCTTAACCAACTGAGCCACCCAGGCGCCCACTACACCATATTCTAATATTTATTCATCTGTTCCTCTATTGATCAACACTCGTTTTTTTCCTCATTTTTAATCATTACAAAGTGTGTTCCTATGAATATTATTTACATGTAATTACTTAAGTCACTTTAAATTTCATATCATATAAGTTGAGTTTCTTATACAAGAGTTGGAATGATTGGGTATTTTCTCAAAATTTTGTAGACATAAGGAATAAAGTTTTAAGAATCATAGTCATAACTTCTATATGATGTCTTCATTTTTTTAGACTTTTCGTGTATGAGTCATCTTTATTGCATGCAGTAATGGCCAAGGACCATTCCTTCTTCACCTAGAGCAGTTTATTACTTGTTTTATTTCAAGATGTTGTACGTGATCTGTGTAATCTTGATACTAAAACCTTCTGGTAGCAGTCACATGATGGAGATGATGCTTATTTCTGCAAGTGTCTAAAATTGAAGGGAAAATCCACCTTCCTTCCTGTAGGAATCTGCTGGGTTTGGAGACTCCAAATGGGGTCGTGTTCCAGAGATAAAAATGCTCAGTCACAGGCTGGGTGAGCACAGAGTGTGGCCAGAGACCGGGGAGACAGGAGTGATTGACTGCTTTTCTCTGGGGATGCACTGAGGAGTGGGGCCCCGAGTTCTCAGCTCCTCTGGGCAGAGATTGGGAGGCCGCTATTTTCACTCTCATCCTCCTAACTCTAACAATATTCTTGAAAGCTAGGCATTATTATCTACTTTTTCTACTTTACAGGGAACAAAGAAACAAAGGCACAGAGAGGTTAAGCAAGTTACTCCATGTCACCCAGAGAATGGTAGAGCCAGAACTCAAACCCAAATCATTTTGATACCAAAGGTGGTTCTATTGTTCACTCTGGTGTTTTGAACGTCAGGGATCTAAGAATAGGAGGAGGTAGGCAGTCCCAGGGGGAGACACTAGAAACAATCTCATTGTTTCAGAGCTGGCTGGATGTTGGAAGGTAGCTGAGCAGGTAACTGAAAGAAGGGCTGAGAAAGGAGCTGGCACCTTGAAGTGCAGGAGCTAGAACAAGATTTACACTTCTGCTACTATTCCTGGCCGACTGGGGAGGTGTGCTTCCACTCAGCTCATCTTGCCCCTCCCATGCAGTCAGAACAGAATTGGGGCACAGAGCTGGACTACACATCTCCCTAAAAGACTTTGAGAGACAATGGGAAGGGCATTTTTCTAGGTTAGTCGCTCTTACTGGCAAATGGGTAGAAGTTTCTAACATCTTTAGAGGCTATGAGCACTCTAGTTATCTTCAATGACATTTGCTAGACACCGATAGTAAGGTCTCACACTCCTGACCATCCAGGCTCCCCCTAACCTACATTAAAATCAGTGCTTGTTTTGAGAAAGGCAAGCAAGTTGAGTCCTAAGGAGGAGTAATGCTTTATATATTAAAATGACCCCAAAAATGTCTCCATGGGAAGCTTTTCAAAAATAAATGTTGGCTTACCTTCAATGCTTTTCAACTACTTTTTTTAAATAAAAATTCCAGTTTCAATAACACAGTCAGAGCTTCTCACTTAGAGGAAATGATGTCGAGTTGCAGTGAAGACTTGAGAAATATTAGCTCAGCAGTTCTTTAGCCTTGCTAGGGAATTTAAATTTTAGGACTCCTAACATAAAGTATTTCATTCAAAATAAGAAGTCAGATTAACTTGACAACACAACTAAATCATATAATAATTTACTCTAAGGGTTTTTACAAAATACTTTATGAAAATTATACATACATAGGAAGTACAGTTTACATTCTAATTAAAGCTTCGTTGCAAAGCTTGTCTGTGAGCACTCTCATGCTAATTTCATATAGTAGAGTGATAGGAAAAACAGAATCATATATGCAAGGTTTTGTTTTTTGTTTTTACAGTCTGTTAGAAAATACAGGCTTGAGATCTTAGGAGAAAATTAAGCCAAAAGCTGAATTCCACCTCTGAGCCAGTGGGTGGCACCAAAGCACATCTGAGACTTTGACGCCGGGAAAGGTTGCGGTAGATTCAGTCCTATGGCCCTAACCCGGAATTCCATATTTTAATGGAGATTACAAAGTAAATAGTTTTCTTATAGTCAAATGCTTTATTATCATGGATATTCTGCCTTTCCCCCTCCTTCTAGGTGTATTTTTCTGTCCCTCTTTTCAGTTTCTGCGAGGATCTTCAACCACTGAGTAGCAGGCCCTCCTAACTGCAGCATGGCATGTGGTGTGAAACACAGGACGGCAAACTAGAATATTTTGCTGGTTAAAAGCACCCAACATTTAATATCTTTGACGGCTTTTTCTCTGAAGCAGCATCAACCGTTTGATTTTCCTAGCTTTCTCAAATATCTCCTTTAATGTTGAAGTCACAAATAAGTTACATACTTGATTCTTACTTAAATCTTGTGGGGCTTGTAACCAAAGAAGCTTATGCAGGTTGACTTTAACATGCTGTGTAGCCTCCGTTAGTGGCAAGGGGCAGCAGGTGAGCATCTGTCCACACGGTCAGATTTTCAAGATCTGATTCCACCTGTTTTGTAGTTTTCAGTGGAGGGGCCAGTCGACTTTGGGTTCATTTTGAAATCTTGGCAATCAACAGCATTCTGAGAGGCAGCGTTGCTTCAATCCAAGTGTTGGGGGACTTTACCATCTTTTCCCAGAGAGCAACTTCCTCCGAGGTAGAGTCCATCCAATCCACTTCAGTACCATAGCTTTTACCTGCAAAAGAAAAAAAAAAAAAAAAAAGGAAGCTTTGCAGTTAGAACAGAATAGTTCATTGGGAAAAAAAAATAATGGATCATCCCCTAATTATAATCATCAATGGAAGACAGCGAGGGGTAGTTTCAATATCACCAGGAGGGCAGATCTGGGGCTTTCTATAAGAAAGAACTGTTTAATCATCTGAAATGTCCAACAACAGGGCACTCCATAATTGGGACTATTCCCTCTACTCACAGAGAAATAGATTTCTCTTTGTGTTCATAGAAAAGCTGGCTGACAACCTGTCAGGGACAGAGTGGGGTAGTAGAGATAAAGCCTGGCATTGGGTTGGAAGTAACACTAGATGATCTCTAAGGAAGAGTAGTTTGGGGTTTAGTGTCTAACAGACTCAACTTTCAATCTTGGCTCTGATACTTATTAGCTCTGTTACTTCATTTCTTGGAACATCAGTTCCTCTGGGAATAACATTAGTAATTACTCACAGGATTTCTGTGAGGATTAAATGAAATAATATAAATAAAGCACTCAGTACAGTGACTAGTGCCCCATAAATACTATTTACTATGATTATTTAAAGCACAATTTTAGTCATGAAAAGACATAAATGTTTTTTTCAGGGACGAGTAGTGATGAAAGCTTTTCTGTACCTCCCACACACAATAACTTAAGCTCTGTGTGGACAGACACTACATCCTGTTAATCTTCATATCTAGAGCCCTTGGCATACAGCCTGACATTCCTTCACTCGTTCATTCCACTTCACAGAAATAGCGTATCTGTTTTCATTAGGAAGAAGCGAAACAACAAACAAACCTCTACTGTCCCCAGAAGCACTTGGCTCATAGAGAATTAAAAACGTAACAAACATTACCTGTTCCAAAGCCAATCCGAAGACCTCCCAAAAACTGGTTGGTTAATTTGTAATGGTCCCAGACAGTAAGCTCTACACAGGCTTCTGTCAGATCTTCAGGCCTGAACCCGTCATACACCATGGTGTGGTTGAAGACAGGACTGGTGGTTTTCCCTACAGCTCTGGTTTTTTGACGACTTTTCCTACTTGTATCTGGAAGGATGATACTACAAAAGGAATCATTACTGTGAAAGCATTTTAATAAGACGGTGAACATTTATGCTTTCAGTGCACTTCAACACAGCTACTGAAGATTGGCAGAAGGAAATGGAAGAAAAAACAGTGTAGAGACGCAGAGGTGTTGGTGGTGGCCATGATGATGGTGAAGTGGTAGTGGTGGTAGTGGTGGTGATGGTGGCAGCCATGACGGTGGCGGTGATGGTGGTGGTGATGGAGGTGGCGGTGGTGGTGGAGGTAGTGGTGATGGTGATAATGGTGATGGAGGTGGCGGCGGTGGTGGTGGTGGTGAGAGTGGTGATGATGGTGCTGGTGATGGCAATGGTGGTGGCAGTAGTGATGAATGCAGTAATGGTGGTGGTGATGTTGATGTGGTGATAATGGTGGTGATGGTGGTGGTGATGGCAGCATCCTGCTGGAGAGACTGCATTACAGTGGCCCAGACTTGCTTTGAATCCTGATTCTGTTACTTATTCGCTGTGTATTGTAGGGGAAGTCACATAATCTCTCAGACACTTGTTTCTTCATCTTTAAAATGAGAATCGTGATGCCTATTTCATAAGGTTAACATTAGAATTACATATGAAGTAAACAACTTAGTTTAGTGCTTTCATTTAGTAAATGCTTAATGTGGTAGCAAATTCTTGAGGATTCCTTTAAAATTTGGAAGCATTCCTGATTATCTGTTTTCTGTTTTTAACCCACCACACCTCTTATAAACACAAGAAGGTCTGAGAGTTGTTTCAGAATGAGACTCACCTGAGCTGAAAAATCTTACCAGCTGACCTCTATGAATAATATTTATAGGGAAAATCACAAATAATGCCTTAAACACTTAAACAGCTAACACTGGTCTTCTAGAAGAATCTATATAGATAAAATTAGTCAGAGGGAGCTAAGAGATCACATACTAATATCTGTTTAGTTACTACTGACTAGATGCCAGGCATTTATATGTATAACAGAAAAAGAAGTTTGCCACTTAGAAACTCAAATTGTCTTAAGCTCCTCTGACATAAACTATTGATAGGGGTCTGTTTAGCAAGTCATTTTCTACATATTTACAGGATGAGGCAAAAGACCTTTTGCAAACAGTTCACAAAGGTGGGACAAGGTACAGGAGGAAGAATTCTCCCCACTCCACAAAGGAGTCAGGGGTATGGCATTAGGAATTTGATGAGTTTTTTTATACTGAATATTATCCTCACCAGCAGATATATCTCCTAGAAAGCATTCCATATCTGAGTACATGGTGCCTGGTTTCATTTGTATGTATGCCCTCTTTATGGTTTTAAAACTAAACTAAGCCTTAGGGGTTCATGTCACAGATCCCTCTAGTTCATGTTGCCATTGTCCCAAGTTATGTCATTTCAACCATGAATGATGAGTTTCACCATCACAGATATTGAGACCTAAAAACAACCAGCAAAGGCCAGGCTATGGTAGAACTGAGAGAAGCAGAGTTATCAAAGCTGTTACCATTTAACAAAAGAATTTAGATGGCTGCCCCTTAGCTGTGGTAGATCAAGACATTCCTTCACCCAGATGTGCACTTCTCCCGTTGTAGGAAGCTTTTTACCTGTAATTGGAAAAGGAAAGAAAATAAAATTTCACTGCCATTGCTCTCTTGGCAATACTACATTCAAAGACGCCAACTTAAAAATGGTCTGGCACATGGGGCGGCTGGGTGGCTCAGTTGGTTAAGCGGCTGCTTTCAGCTCAGGTCATGATTCTGGAGTCCCGGGATCGAGTCCCACATCGAGCTCCCTGCTTAGCGGGAAGTCTGCTTCTCCCTCTGACCCTCCCCCCTCTTGTGCTCTCTCTCTCTCATTCTCTCTCAAATAAATTTAAAAAAATCTTTAAAAAAATGGTCTGGCACAGTGGTACTAGCTAGAGCTTGAGGATATGATCCTAATTGGTTAAATCTATTGATTTTTAACTAAATCTTCCACAGTCTGGCTGCACTGAGCTCAGAGAGTTCTATGAAAATAATTCATATTTGTGCACCTGGGTGCCTCAATTAGTTAAGCATCTGCCTTCGGCTCAGGTCATGATGCCAGGGTCCTGGGATGGAGCCCCGCATCGGGCTCCCTACTCAGGGGGAGCCTGCTTCTCCTTCTCCCACTCCCCCTGCTTGTGCTATCAAATAAATAAATAAAATCTTAAAAAAAAAAGAATGGTAACAACACAAAGGAAGTGAACTGAGAGATGAAGAGAGAAAGAGGGAAAAAGGAAGTAGGTTTGGGGATATCATTTGAACTCTTGTATCATACAGTACTTAAAGCCTGCCTGAGGAATGCCTGGGTGGCTCACTCGGTTGAGCATCTGACTCTTGATTTTGGCTTAGGTCATGATCTCAGGATCATGGCAACGGGCTCTGTGCTCAGCATGGAGTCTGCTTGAGATTCTCTCTCCCTCTACCTCTGCCCCTCCCCCGGCCCATGTTCACTTGCTCTGTAAATAAATAAACAAACAAATAAATAAAGTCTTTAAATTTTTTTTTTAATTAAAGAAAAAGAAAATAATTCACATTGATTCCAAGTACAGAGTACTATATTATTCTTTTGGGTTTGGCTTGTTTCAAAACAAGTTAAAGATATCAAGTATATAAATCATCCATTTATAGTTATATTAAAAACATCTCAATGAAATGCATATTCCTTTCAAATATTAATACTAACATCAATTGCTGTTAATGGGAGGCATCTGAAACATACTGAGTATAAATTAATCAAAATAGGTACTGGCTAAGGTATAGCCACTCTTCTTGTTAATTGTGTTTACATACTTTATGGGAATACTGTATACATACACACAGTAACTAATGTTATGCACAGGGAATACTGAGAAGTTGCCTTAGTCTTCAGTTGTTGGCTAGACTGGGTGCACATGGACAGAGGGCCACTACCATATTTTTCTGAGTAGGTTAATCCAGTCAACCAACCAGAATTTAATGAGCATCTATGATATGCTTTGGCCTATGCTAGGAATGTCATTGGATATACAAGGAATATAAGAAATCTATATCCTTGGAAAATGTTTACATTTAAGTTAAAAAGAGTAATTCACATAAAAACTATAAAAATGTAATACAGAATGAAATGCCAAGTTATTATCATAATGTTCTAGATGATGATGTGATCAGTGAGGGTGAAAGAATATAGCCAGGAAAAGCTTTATGATGGGACTTTAAGATGGGACTTCTTTTCAACCTATCCGAAGACTTGGAGAAGGGGAAGCCATTCCAGGGTAGAGAAACTACATGAGCAAAAAGTCAGACAAGGTGGAGCCCATCACAACACATGGTCCCCTTTGCCCCCACCACCAAGAAATGATAGTGGAGGAAAAGAGATTGGCAGAATTTCTATGCATGTGGACCATAAATGATAGGATACAAATTATATATATTAAGGAAATCTGCCTTTTAGGAAGATCCATAAGTAACAACAAGGTGGTTTGGCAGCCATATGGGCCTAACGATATGTTTTGCTTGCCTTCTGATTCTTTTTTTTTTTTAGCTGAATTAAAATGCCTTTCTCCATTTCAATCACTGCCCTTACCATCCATTATTTCTTTCATCCCACGAGTTTCACTGCCTAGGTACTGAAAACATTTGAGTTGCAACCTCTGATTTCAGTTATGATATCATACAGATTCTTAAGAAGAAAAACTTGGGGAACTTCTTGGGAAATGAGAGGGGGCTGGCATTCATTTCTTGCTAGTCTCTTGCTCTTTAACTGGGCTGTAGACCCAAGGCCCTAACATCAAGGATGCAATTAGTAACCTTGAGGGAAAAGCTTTCTACCCTGCTGAGGCCTTGTGAATGGAGAACCAATGAGTTCTAATCTCCTAGAGGCTCCATATGAATCCTTCTAATTCTCACCTGTGAAGAATACTCGGGTTCCATTCTTACCATAACACTACCAATAGGTCCAAATTCTGAACACAGAAAAGGCCATTCATGTTGTACAGATACCAACTTTTTGGAAAGCGAGATGAAAATTAGAACAAGGACTATAAACTTGGGAATTTTGTAAAATGAGGGTTTGTTTTTTTTTTTTTCATGGAAACAGAGGTAGAATGGTAGTTACCGGGGGCTGGGAGAAGGATAAGTCAAGGGTATAGTTTAATGGGTACAGAGTTTCAGATATGGAAGACAAAAAATTTCTAGAGTTCTGCTTCATAACAATGTGAATATACTTAATACTACAAATGGTACACTTAAAAATGGCTAAGATGGTAAATTTTATGTTTTGTGTTTTTACCACAATAAAAAAAAAAGAATTTGTCAACTGTAAATTGACTCATTTGGTCCGTAGAATTATTAAGTTAATAAATTTGCTTAGGGTTTCACATTTGAAAATATCACAGAGTCCAAAGAAATCCTTGGAGAGGGAAAGGCTCAGGAAGGGGCATAAATCTGGATGGAAAATCATTACATACCAGGAATTGGCTCTGGGACATACTGGAGAGCTAACTTCATTTCACCTCTGTTTTCTGCTTCAAGGGCAACAGGTGCTGTCTGGAGAATGAAGGACTGTCAGTAGGTGTAAGACACAAATGACTACTGTTTGTTGGTTACTCTGTTTTAGGACCATAACTGCCCCCAATTCTGCGACTATGTATCACCCATGAGTGCCCTGGATTAAAATTTCCTTCCCCATCAGAGCTAAACTCTTGCCTTTATATCTGGGAAAGCTATATATCGTGTATCTTGAAAAAACTTGCTTGGTACCCAGAAAACATCTCAAGGCCTTTAGTCTCAGAGATATTTGAGAAATCAGAATGGCTTTCTTGGAGAGAGAAGAAATGTTCTGGGATGCTTTGGTTTTTATAAAAACACACATATTTTTTGTTGGTCACCCAGCCAGCACATAAAACTATTTATTTGTATTATTCTCTTTCTTTGAGTATGAAGAATGTGGGAAAGTTGGGGGAAGAAAAGCCAAACGTTACATTTTCAAAGCTGCATTAACCTGATTATTTCAGATCACATAATGTGAGGTCTCTAAGAATAACAAAGATTGGACAATAATTTAAAAATATATGTCTATTATTTTCAAGTATAAGAAAGATGGCTTTTCTTTCAGATTCTGGTCCTTTAGAGCCTTATTGCCAAAGCATGGTTATGCATCAGAAACATAAGGGAAATTAGTTTAAAATGAAAAGCTCTTGACATCTTCTGAGGAATTCACACCCAGTGAGTCTTGGGTAAGACTAGAAATAAGTGCTTCTGGTGATTTTGATGCAATATTTGGGAACCATTTCTTAAGTGAAAGTGCTATATTATGTAGATACTAAACAATGGTTTGTATTGTTGCTATTTATCACTTCTAGCTGGGATCACACCAACCCTCACACGGACAACAATTAAAAAAACTGGATTAAACAAATTTATTTGAAGAAGCTAAAGAAATATTAATATAGACAGGACTCAAATGGACAAGATCTTTGAGCCTGACATTCTCTGCTTTTCATGTTGATGCATCAGCTGATTTTTAAGTAGTGCCAAACTAGAGCATAAAAGCCTAACTGAAAGAGACTAAGAAGCCTGAGCAGGGCTTTTGCCAGTCTCGTGGGGCTGGAGAGACAAAAATTGGAGTCCACAGCCAGCATGGAAGGAGTAGCCTTAGAAAATACCCTAGGAGGAATTCTCAATCTCAGGAAACAAACTTAGGGTTGTTGGAGTGGTGGGGGGTGGGAGGGATGGGGATGGCTGGGTGACAGACATCTGGGGAGGGTATGTGCTATGGTGAGCCCTGTGAATTGTGTAAGACTGTTGAATCACAGACCTGTACCTCTGCAACAAATAATACATTATATGTTTAAAAAAAAGAAGAAGAAGAAGAAGATAGCAGGAAGGGAAGAATGAAGGGGGGAAATCGGAGGGGGGAGATGAACCATGAGAGACTATGGACTCTGAGAAACAAACTGAGGTTTCTAGAGGGAGGGGTGGGGGGATGGGTTAGCCTGGCGATGAGTATTAAAGGGGGCACGTACTGCATGGGGCACTGGGTGTTATATGCAAACAATGAATCATGGAACACTACATCAAAAACTAATGATGTAATGTATGGTGATTAACATAACATAATAATAATTAAAAAAATACCCTAGGATCAGTGGTTCTCAAAGTATGGTCCCCACACCTAGGAACTTGTTAGAAATGCATATTCTCAGGCCCAGATCTTACTGACTCAGAAACCTTGGGAATAGAGCCTGGAAATCTGTTTTTAATAAGTCCTTCAGGTGAACTGGATGCATGCTAAAATTTGAGAACTACTTCCCTAGGTTTTCACTTGGAACCTCTGAAGGGTCATAGCCTAGGAATATGGGCAAGCAAAACTACATCAGACCACATGAAAACTGAACCCCAACTTCTAGTCAGTTCATTCTCAGATTAGATTAAGGTAGTCTGTCCCTACTCTGTGTGTCAGAAACAAAAGTAAATCCCCTCAAAGTATCCCTAGGGTTTTTCATATACAATGTGAGGCGTGCAATAAAAACTAAACGGGCATACCAGGACAAAGGACCAAATGACCAAACTAAGATAAAAAATTAGATAAAGGAGACTTACAAATGTTTAAGATATTGGGTTTTCAGATATATACTTTAAATAACTTTGATTAATATGTTCATAATGTTAAGATAGAGAATTTTAGCAGAGAAGTGGTCTATAAAAAATCAAATGAAAATATAAATCTGAAAAATACAATGTTGAGAACTTGTAAGATGGGTGTTTTAGACATAGCAGATAAGAAAATTATTAAACTGAAAGATAGTTTAGCAAAAACAGCCAGCCTGAAATCTAGAGAGGAAAAAAGAAAAAGAATAGAAAATACAGAAAAGAGCATAATAGACATATGGGACAGAGGTGCCTGGGTGGCTCAGTCAGTTAAGCATCCCACTTTTGATTTTGACTCAGGTCATGATCTCAGGGCCATGAGATCAAGCCCTGTGTAGGGTTCCACACTGAGCATGGAACCTGCTTAAAATTCTCTCTCTCCTTCTCTATCTATCCCTCCCTTCCACACTTGTACAGTCTCTCTCTCTCTAAAAATAAAATAAAAAGAGAGAGAGACATATGGTACAAAGTGAAAAGACATAATGATCCCAAACTATGGATAATCATTTTGAATTAAAATACAATTATAGTAGCTTTCTCCTATACACCAGGCCCCAAACCAACCAACCAACCAACCAAGTCTGCACGAACCTTTCGCTTTAGAGGGTACCACTTCAATTGTTTATTCTGTTTGTTGTCCCAGTCCCAAGTTTCCAAGTCAAGTTCCACTTCTCCTAGAAAACTATTGCGTTTAAATGTATCCCGATGCCAAACAGAGAGGTTCAGCTTTTGTGTTTTTAAGATTTGCTTTTCGATTTTATACTGCAGATCAAAGAAGGAAATTAAAGTGGTGAATAACATTATTTTATATCAAAGTTATGACATAGAGATGAAGAGAAAAGTCATCTGTGCAGATCAGGTTTTCTCATCTGTTAGGTTTCAAGTCTCAAAAATATTGCAAAGTCATCTTATTCTAAGTGTCTTGTTTCAAAGAGCTAAATCCATCTTTCACAAAAGCTGATTTTCCTTCTGCTTCTGGAAAAGTAAACCACAGTTCAAATATCATAGCCAGTAATAGCTCTCTAAAAACAAAAGCCAATTATTCATTTTTTTGCTGGATGTTTTTAGTTCAAGCTAGATATAACAGAAATCCAATTCAGTCTAAAAATACTAATGAAGTTTAATCCTGTGGTCTGTTTTCTACCTAAGGACAAGGTATTTTTTCTAATAGACTCTATTTTTTAGATCAGTTTCAGACTTATAGCAGAATTGAGCAGAAAGTACAGAGAATTCCCCATATATCACTTGCCCCCATTTACACACATCTCCCACTATAGATATCCTGCAATGACAAAGTATTTTCCAAAAAAAGATATATTTGTTTTTTCTTGCTTCATATGGTTAAGTGGAAAATATTTGGCATCCTAATGGTTTTTCATCTAAAATGCAGTCAATCCTAGATTATATATAATCATGGAAGGGATAATAGTACTTCTAATCTAAAAATAATCTCTATTTGGCTTTATGACGTACTACTTGAATATCCATTTTGGTTGTAGCAGGTTTGCCTTTCTCTGAGTTTACCATTTAAATTAGCTGGCTTTTGCTGAGTATAGGGTTGAAGTAGCTGACCCAGAAATAGCTAGGGTACTGAGGTATATCATAGTCAAACTGTAATTAAAAAGTGGCTACAGAAAATCCATAAAAAACTGACCCATGAAGGACTGAAATTAATTTAATTCTGCTTCTTTCCTCAGAGGATAATCAAATAGTGGGACAGACTTTTCAGAAAGGGGAAATGAAGAACACTTCTTATATTTTTAGTTTTACATTATCATGACTAAGGCAGTCTTATGCAGTCTGTGGGAAAAAAGAATACGGGTATTTAAGCCAGGCACACTTTCTATTCATCTGTCCATCCATCTCTCCTTCCAATAACCATTTTTTGAGTATCTATCCAGACACTGTACTAAGAGTCAACATTTATGTGTTTAATGTATACTAATCACTTTGCACATATTAACTCTTAATGTTCACAACTACTGAAGTAAAGAGGCAGGTACTATTATTACCTCTCTTGCAGATCTGAAGAACAGATAGGTAAGCCATTTGCCAAAGGCACACAGTTGATAAATGACATGGAGTTGGTCCCTGCCTGCCTGAAACTTACAATTTAATGGGAAAGCAGACAATGAAGCCAGTAGTTAAAAGCCTAATATAAAACAAGGTGCCTGAGGCAGCAGACCCAGGTGGGAACTGAGGGGTTAAGGACAGCCTCTCATGGGAAGAGGCATTTAAGGCTGGAGGAGGTAGTTCATGATAGAATGTGGGAAAGAGTTCTCCAGCCTGATGGAACACCAGGTCCAGCAGTGTGAGAAAATGTGCTTCGTTTCTTCAAAGAACAGAAAACACTCAGAGTGACCTGAACAAAGACTCTGAAAGTGGAAGGATGAGGCTGGAGTTCAGGTTGTGAAGGGACGGGTGGCATGGTAAGGTGGACTTGGATCTAAGGGTAATGGGAATCCTAAAAGATTTTAAGTAGAGAAATAACATGATCAAAATTATACTTCTGGTAGCTCCTTTGGTTACAATGCTCCATGTTTTCAGCTGTGTATCTTTGAGCAAACCCCTTTGTTTCTCTAAGCCTCATGTGTGAGGGGCAGATAATATTCCTCCTGGTGGAGTATGTAGGGAGTGAGTGAGAGAAGACATACAACGTTCATGGTGTATGGTCTCATGCAAAGCAGTTTCTCAGAACATGTTTATCCCTTCCCTTCTTCTCTATCCATGACTGACTTCATTTGTAGAGATACTACCCAAGAAGATATGGCTATCGACACACAACTCATCATTTAGGATTTTCCTAGACAGACAGTTCATAGATACCCGCAGTATTTCATTATACACAGGATTCAAAGTCTTCTTCACTACAAGTGTTTTCTTCTTGCCCATTTTGCCCTTGTCTGGTAACAAATAGGTCTTTACATATCTAAAAAGAAAAGTAGACAAGAAGGTCATGGAAAATAAAAGTGAGGTTTCCATCTCTGCTTTGAAAAATGCATTGGTAATTGACAGAAATAATTATTTCATGACACTGAGAAAAGCAGTTAAGTAATGAATGTTCTCAACAACACCTTTATACTTAAACTTTTAAACACAGTGCAACAAAATTGGTCATTTTATACTGTTTTGAAAAATTTTAAAGGATATTTCCTGAATCCTTTTCTTCCTTTGGCCTTACCTGATGTGGGGGGTGGCAGGGGACAGACCGCTAATGTAATGCTTAATTTTACTGGCTTGTTTCCTATTGAGAAAAGGCTTTGGTGCTTGCAGAACTTTTTAAAAAAGTTTTGTTACTGCCTTTTGGAAACAAAAATTCATCTTAGCACACATCTAAGCAAGCCATATTCAATGGGGAAAAAAGGGATACTGACCCCAGCTGTTTTGATAATAAAAGCATAAAGGATTGGGCCTATGCTAGCAAAATAATTAAGAATCTGACTTCTGCATAGGGAAGGAAAGCAAAGAATACCATTCAACTTTTGCAAATAAACAAATTCAATTAAGTCTGTGATCTAAAAGATGAGCTGGTAATTCCCCCTAAAGTTCTTCTGTAAAATATAATTTAAATTTAGAAACTACTTCATTCTAGAATCTTAACTGTTTCTGCACCACTGAACATTCTGAAGTATGGCTTGACATGTCTCTGATTTTAGAGAAGTTTGAGAATGTCATGGGAAGAGAGTGGGGTTCAAGCCCTCATTCCCCATTTTGCTGTTGACTCTCTGAGTTTATGTAAATAGGTCACTTTTCTTCTCTGGCCCTGGTTTCCTTATCTGTTAAAAGAAGGAATGGGACAAGATGGCCTCAAAGGTCGCTTCCACTTGAAACATTTTCTGCTTCTCTGACATTTTTATAGTTTAATAAGTTTGGCATGTTTATAGAGTAAATAAAACACCATTTTCCCCCAATTTTTCTTCTCAAACATTTCTTTTTGACACAGTCACACACATAGCCTCCCTTCAGTTACTTTCTTTCCCAACTTCTACAAGATTACAAAGAACTAAGAGAAAACAGGGACTCCAAATTGTACTTACGGGTCTGAGCGCTGTTTTTTAACATCCGCTGCTGCTAAGTCTTTACATTGGGCCACAAAGACATGTAACTCCTTCAGTGAGTCCACATAGTCGATTGCAAACTGAATATTTCCTTTCACTTCCAGATTGCCAAAGTCTCCACTGTAAACGCTCATCACACTGCCGCTCACCTGAAGGCATTGGAAACACGCAGTGTTTGTTTCTGTCTCATGCGTGGACCCAGCACAAGGATCCCGAATATAACCTTGGCTTGCCATTATTTCTCTAGTTTGCATTTAAGGCAGTTAATAGGGCATAAAGACAGACCAACACAGACAACCTGACATGATATATGATACGACTAGTGTTTTTAAAAAATTGCCTCTAAAAGATACAAATGACAAGTGAAATGCAAAGTTATTTAGATGCTGGCTCATTTCAAAGCAGGGGGATTTTATGGTAGGGGGCATTCAGAGTTCCATTTTTAGGCATGCTTAGTATTTAAGAAAGAGGATGTGAGAAACCCCAGGCACACAAATCACAGTGACACATTGCTCTATCAAATTTCCAAGGCACTAAAAAGGAATCTTACTATGTTGCCCATCCACTGAATCTAGGAAAATGCTTAGTGGGCCATACGCCTTTAGAGGTCAGGAAGGGTAGAGAATGGATGATTGATGAAGGCGGTTGAAAGCCTTCCCAAGGCCATACGTTTGAGGATCATCAGCAGAAATTCAATTTAAACAGATTTTTTTAAAAGTTTAAAAAATGGGAGGCTAGTAAGAATTTAAGTGCAGCTTTATCATTTGGTTAGCATACCTGGTGAGATAGAGTGTATATCATAGAACTATCTGGATAAGGGTTTGTGGGTATATTTCTATATATATATTTCTACACACATAATCCATGCTCACAATATGACGTCACTTTATGAAAGGAGTTCTAGGTAAAGTCAAATTTTCTCCATCAAACCTGAACAACTACACTTAAGGAGCTTTCCTTTTAAAATCCTGTTTTGAATACTTCTGTAAGGCAAAGAATCACTTCTCCTATTCTTTTAAGTGAATCAGTACTTTTATTCATCAGGTTTGCTAAAAGAGAGGTACAATTCTATACCTGCAAACAGAAATATAAAACATATCTGATATAGGCAGACTTAACAAAAGTTACCCCATTTGTTGCATGGAAAAACATAGCAGTTCATCTTGTTGGTAATTTAGGTTTATTTTTGAAGTACTTACATTCAGAAAAAATATTCATTTATAAAGGATATGAACTCTTTTCATGCTTCAAAAAAGAAAAACAAAGATTTAGCTAGCCAGAAGCTAATTGTGGGTTAGAGAAAAAGCTCGTGCCCTTGGAATCTGGGAAATACAATAGGCAGCCACTTTCTAGCAAGCAGGAGCATGGCAGAGCCAGGTTCACAAAAGCAGAGAGCTATTAACACGGAGCCTTTGTTTACATACAGAAGACAGGGACGTCATGCCAGAGGAGCTGCTAAGATTGGTTAAAGAGCTTGGGCTCTTCTTGTGTCTGCTGAGCTGGTAACTGCTCTCTGAGGTTGTATCTGTTTCTCTGTCATCACTCTACAAAACATCACATAATATACACAAAATTTAAATTCAGAATGAGTGAAGATCAGCATCTCTATTTAGAAAAACGTGATACCTTGATATCCCAAGGATCTATGAACATTTCTGAAGGTTAAAGGACACTCGTGCTAATCACCAGGGAACGGGAATCAGGATGAAGTGGGTGGTCTATCGTGGACCTCACCTAAGGAGGACAGCAGTGCTTAGCTGCCAAAAGAACAGTGATTTGGTTTTTCACCTCCAAGGTGGGCCCAAGGTGCTACAGAAGGCAGCACTGCTGTGAGCTTTCTTGTCACTCTCTTAACATTATGTATTTATGTAATGTGGGGGACTTCATTGATAAATATGAGAAATTAACCTTACCCAGACAACAAACGGTCTAAGATTTACTATCAAAACATAAAATGTCATGCTTAATTCCTCTCATTATTAACATAGCCTTAACTTCCCTAAAAATCAAATCTTTTGCTGGAGACACTATTAAACTAGAAAAAATAAATGCTAGTTTCATCATTTAAACAAAAAGTTAGATACACACATATTTTTAAAATTTTAAACCACCTCTTATGTATTTCCATACTGCTATTGTGTTTATCTTTCTACACAAATTAGATTTTAACACACTTTTGGGGAAAAAAAGGACCAAAGATTCTTATTTTAAATATGTCCCAGGAAATATTTACCTGGGTCAAAAAAAAGGTGGCAATAATACATTTTATTATATTTAGAGCTAAAGCTTATTAGATGGTAGCTTTAAAAATTCATGATTCAGAATGAGCTCCTTTGGGGGTTAGAGAGTTTATGGAGCAGTTCAGTGGAGTTAGGGAAACACCTTTATGGAGTAGTTAGTACATGCCAATGTATTCCAGGGCCATGCAATTATGTATCATATAACAAATGCCAATTCTATTGCAGATTAAGGAAGGAGTTAAAGAAAAACAAAATTCATGACTTATATGGATAGAAAAAGAAATCCTCCCTCAAGGATTAAAAAACCCACACCACCGCGTGTCCGTTGTCACCCTCTCTCCCCACATGCTTACAGCCCATTTCCCTCTATTACAGCATGCACTGTGCTCTACCCAGCATATCAGGTCACTAGTGATTTACTGAAGGATGGGATCCTGTCTTGTGGACCTGTAACGTCAATTTTCATGTAGCAGGTACTCAACGAACATGACTGATGCTAAGCCTTGAAGGGAGAGTGGACGGAGGCACAAGGCCTGGTTTCATGTCCGCTTCCTTTAATATTCGGTCTGACCCACATGCTTTGAGAGGTAAAATTCTCCAGCTTTGTTTGGCATCTCTGATGCACAAACTCAAATGATTTGGACTCTCTTCGTGTGGAGCTATGAGGCAGCACATTAAAACTGATGGAGGAGAAAAATGAAAAACCAGGAACTGGTGTCACTTGCCTCTTAAGTTATTATATGGCTTATTCATATGACCAACCAAGACCAAAGCCTATTTACAAAGGTGTAAAAGCAGGAACTCCATGAGGTGGCCTACTGTTGGCTTCCAACTAATGATTTAGTTTCAAAGAATGATTGATTCTTTTCAAAGGAACTGTAATGTGGGCTGTTAAGCATATGCAAGGGTGTATATTTGCAGATACAGTTCATCTAAGGCCCAAGAATAGACAGAGGTGTGCCCGGGAGGTCAGAGAGGTGGTACGTAATTATATGCTGTCTAGAACTTTCCTCACATTTCATCTACTAAGAGAATGCCTGAGGATAACGCTTTTTATTTCACCATCAAAAATCAGACACAAACTGTAAATAGTAACAGCTATCATTTACTGGGTATTCACTATGTGTCAGGCACTCTGCCATACGTTTCCCCCACATTATCTCCCTGACTCCTCACAACCTAATGAGGTAGAACCAGGAAACTAAACTCAGGGAAGTTAAGGAACTTACCCACACACCAGATTAGTAGCACAACCAGCAATTTTTAAATAGCACATTAGTAGCACAACCCTGGCGAGAACATGAAATCTTCTTTTTTTGGCTCTTTAAATTTTTATTTTAATTCTGGTTAGTTAACAGCCAGTGTTATATTAGTTTCAGGTGTACAATATAGTGATTCAACAATTCCATACATCACCCTGTGCTCATCACAAGTGCAATCCTTAATCCCCCATCACCCTATTAACCCATCCCTCCACCCATAACATTGTATCTTAATTAAGTCAAAGGACCTGAGTTAAAGTCCTAGATCTAGGTTTTAGCAGCTGTCGGATTTGAGGAAAGTGATTTGACCTCTCTCAAGCACTTTTCCTCTCTTATAAAATGGAGAAAACAGTACCTACCACATTTAGTTGGTGAGAGTTAGATATCAGAATGAATATTAAGTGTCTGGTATTTACGAAGTACTGAGTGAATAGAAAGATCATAATCCTGTTCCGACCTGAGACAGCAGGTTTAATGGCTATAACCACAATACTCAGATCCAGGTTCCAGTCCTGGTTGGACCCCTTTCTAGCTGAGTGAGGTTACTCACCTCTCCCAGTGTTTCCTTATCTGTAATATCTGGTAATAACGATGATGCCTGCCTTCCAGACATGTTGGACAGTTAAATGAGATAATGTATGTCAACTGCCTACACCCAGTAGATATTCTTAAAGTTTGCTGTGTCATTGTCACTTTACTACTTTAACAAATGCTTTCAAACTGTTCATGCTACCTAGACGAAGCTCTCACAAATCAACTCCACTGGAAACTACAGAGTGGTTAGTTCATGCCAACATATTTCTGCCTGGATTTCTTATTTTGTACCCACTTTGAAACAAAAGTCACAGTCCAAAAATCAATGCAACTTGACTTCACCACCAAAATGAGTTACTGTTTGAGTCAAATAAGATATGCCTTGCCTTGTTCCAGGATCAACAACACTGCTTCTATTGATAGGAAAGGCAGGGGTCAGTCCTGCTGACCTCTTTGGTCTCTGCCACCGCTGAATACAAACACACCAACCTCGGCATAGCAAATCCACCTATTTGGTTCCATTTTTCTGAAGTTACAGAAGACAAACTTGCCTCATCTTGGAGAAATGCTGGAACAGACTTGCTCATCCTTTTGAGTTTGTCAGGGTGGGAAAACGGATTATCAGGTTGTGAAGGCACTGTGGAAACTAAACAGCAGCGTTTCCATTCAAAATTATCCTCAAATTATCAGACAAACATACAACATAAGTTGAAAACACACTTTTCTTTCATCTATGAATGAGATATTTTTGCAAAAAGGTTAACATGCACAGGATAAGATAAGCAACAAGCAATTTTCATAAATTATACAGAGAGAACTTGCAAGGAGTTGAACCAATGGAAAATAAAAAAGACTGTTAGTTTTTATTAATCTGAAGCTGGATTTGAATTATATTAAAACATACAGCCATTGTGAATTGGCTTTCACTTATTTTTCACACCAGAGATTTGAACCACAAGATGTATGATTTATTGGCTCATCTCCCTGGGATGTATTTTTAAAACATGCTGCAGGCTGAAAAACTATTTCATTGGACAGCAAGGATCTCTGTACACAACTCAATCATAACGGTGTCCTGGCTACTGAGTGTCTAAGGGAAGGCTTGTTTGTTCAGTGATTGTGGGGATTTCTTCTCTGATGCTGTTTCTCAGAATTATGAAAGACTATGAGTTCAAACTAATTATTTTTTTAAAACAAACTATTTAGATACTTTTCTGATAGAGAGGTATCAGACACCTTATTTAGACACCTTTTGATACAGTAAGGATATGTGTGGAAGTCACAATGAGATGATGAATTCTATTCCTCATTTGTGTAACTCTAGTTAGAAACCTATTTCCTTCTTTATCTAAGAATTGGTGTCTAAGTTTTTCTTATGGTGAATCCGAGATTGCTTACTGAATGAGTTAATATGTTTCAAGGCCCTTAGAACAGTACCCTGGTACATAGTATGCTCTATATAAGTATGTGCTAAAAAGTAAATATTATCTGATAATCTTTAAATTACCTTTTCAGTATGATACAAATATACAAACTTGGTTTTCTACCAGTGAAAGAGATACCAGGAAAACAGATAAAAATAAAATTATATTTCTATATATAACTCAAAAGGCTCAAATTCAGCCTTAAGCATTTGCTAAATTCATCTTCAGTTAAAACAAAATTAATGAAGGGAAACTGAAAACTGAACTATAATAACAAATATTTGCTTATTCACATGGTAGTTCTCATCTAGCCTTTGGCTCACAAATGTATCAAAATACATTTACAGTGACTCACGAGATGATACCTGCTTTAATCATTACCCATTAAACAATAATGTGTATGTGGGTATATTTGGGTGACTTACACTGCAGTAGTATAAGGTTAGATCCCATGAGGATACAGTAGAGCCCAATGAGTATGCAAAAACTTTTTATCATAATACTGCTCCCTATTATTTTCAAAATTTATATCTGCTACTCAAATGTATTCAGTTTTACATTTATTAGAATTTGGTAATTTATGTTTTGATCATGTATTTCAATTTTGTTTTGTGATAAGAATACATTCTTTGCTAGAGAAAAGAAATAATCTCAGCCCATACATTAAGAGTCATCTTGGGAAATACCATAAAAAAAGAGAGAAATTAATTCATCCAGAATTCAGCACATGATGAGCCTATTTGGCTTGACCTAACTAAGCTAGGTCATGAATAAAGACACAGATACATTGGCATATATGTCCATGTCTATGCTTTGTTTTCACTCCTCGGGCTAAATGAAAAACATAACAAGCTAAAACAAGATGACCAAACTTAAGTATCTGCCAGTTCAAAAGCAGCTGGAGAAACCTCTTTACCCAACACCCCTGAGAAACAGAAGTCTTGGCTCCTCTGCAGCAGCTGGACAGAGAACATGCATCAGGGGCCAACACCTGGATGGTCTTTTTGCTTAGGTACTTCTTAAGAATTGGTCAGGTCATGTGCCAAAGCTCAGCACCTTCATCTCTGGCAGGTGGACCTCATGAGCCAAGTTTCAGATTTCAGACTAGATGTCACGGCCCTCTAGTGTCAGCACTTTGTTTCTCTATCACATGGCTCCTTCATTTAGCTGCTCTTCTCATTAAGACTTATTAGCACATCCAGACTATTGGGAAACTGTTAATAAAAATCTTGTGCTCTCCTAAGGGCAGACATGCGTATCATTATCTTCATACCTCCAGTGCCTAGCATTACACAACTGGCTGAAACTGGGAAGCTAAGATGACACACATGCATATCTCATGCTTTGTTAGGCCCCACAGATACCTTTTTAATGTGCTATTTGTCCTCGAAACAGTAGTCAGAGTTAAGTAGAGCAATCTTAAGATTGAACAGAAAAGAGTAAACAATCATTATCTTTGTTTGGTGGTGGACATTAATTAGCAGATGGACATTAGCCACCACAGGTATACACTTATTTCTTAAGATTCAGATATTCACTTGCTTTATATATTGAATATATACTGAGTCCAGGTTTGAACCTCAGAGCTTAAACCCTGGACATAATAAAATTTGCTTCCATAGGTATGTAGAGAGGCATATACAACCATAATGCATACTAACTGTAAAAGTACAATTCTTTCTTAGGTCCAAATAAATTATAAATTATTTCATGTCTACAGTCTTGTGTAAAGGCCACAAGAGATCCAATACTCAAGACCAGACTGCAACATAAAGCCAAGTGATAACAGAAGGTGCCAACTTCATTCTAAGAAAAGACTCAAAGAGCAGAGAGACTTATAGAAGTATAATAATACTCAGCAATAACATACATATATATTTATATATAGTACATAAATCTGTCTACATAAAAAATTTTAAAATACATAACTCTCCCCCAGTGGAACCACAAATTAATCTTTCAACACTGGCAGCAGTAATATGTTTTTAATAAAACCCCTGTCAGAATGAAATAGTTTTGTAAGCTGCAAGAGTTTTAGTACCAATAACAAATACTGTGTGATTAATAGTGTTAGTTATTTCAGTATATTTAACACCATGTAAAGTGGCAACATTTAGCCATTTGTGAGAAAGATCCTGCTACTCACTTCCTGGTATGCATTCATTTGTATCTGGTTCCTGATCTGCTTTTTGATCTACTCAGAAGAGCAACATTGAGAATAAATACCATTTTACAAGAAGGATTAAAGAGACATGAAAGTAAAGCTCACATATCAGTTTCACAACAGAGACTGCAGAATATATCTGACAGGTTTTCAGCTTGCTTTTATCCATTCCCCAGCGTGACTCTTCATTAGCCACTTTAGGGGTCTCCTATTCAACTAAAAATCCAACATCCAGGATAGGAGATATTTGGCATCTTTCCGCTAAGTCACTGAGCCACACATGGCTTGGCGGATGGAAGGAGCACTGAACTAGGAGGAATGAAGCCGAGCTTCTAGTTGCCACCTCCCCCCACTGACCAACTAGCTACAGGACCTTGGATAAGTCACCTCAATTCTCTGAGCTTTTCTTATCTGTAAATGAGAATGAAAATCCCTGCCCCACCTAATTCCACGAAATTGTTGCAAGCATAGAATGAGAAAGACAAAACTATGACACAAAAGTAGGGAATGACCTTTGAGGAGTTCTGATGCTATATTTTATGGGGAAAGCTCAGTTAATATACATTTTTATTATTATAATAAAGGCAATTTAGAAAACACAATCCCAGTGTACAAATATAAATTACACATTTGCATAAATGCTGAACTATAAAAATTGGACTCATTTCCATCCCTTCCCCCACCAAGTCACTATTACCCTGTATAATTTTATGTGAACCACGTAATACTCAATCCACTGACAAACTTCAAGATCTTCTGGTTCCTTAATATTCAGAACCAGTTAATTTTACCTCGATCTATATTTAGCTATTTAAATGAGCCGAGGCAGGATCCTGACTCTGGTTCTGGGACTCGTCCCTTTGAAGTTAAAGCTTTACCAGCTATGCCCAGAGAGCTCCAAATGCTGAGACATGAGACAAATACAGGAATAACTTAACCCAGGAACCCACCCGACGCTTCCTGCCCTCACAAGGAGTTCTGCAAGTCAGAATAGCAAAAATCAGCTCATACCCATAGAAATACAATTTCCTATTTATAGAAACCCTCACTTCCCAAGGGTCTCTGATGCGATCCTCACAACGGTATCACCAGCAGAAGCCTTGAGGATACAAACAGTTAGTATTAAATGCACCGAGTCAGAACCGTTTTATAATAACTTAGGCACCATTCATCACATAGTGGTAAATGACGTTCTTCTATTTATCCAACAGCTGCATCCCAGTGACTTCCCAAACCGCCCAGAACCTAACACACAGACAGACATGCAAATACATAAAGATATTTACCATCTTCAGCACTACGTACTAATTCTTCTGGCAGATTATCTACTTTTGCTTGATCTGTTCAGGAGAAATTAACAAATGGTTATCACGGCTGTCCCTTGGCGAGAGAGAACAATGAGACCGTCCCTGGAAGCCCCCGGAGTTGGAAGCAATTAGTCAAGATGCAGTGAGGGGTGCAACCAAGATGTCTTCCCCATAATATTTTCTCTTTAGATTAGCTACTTGAAGCAGTGCCATAGCGGGAGCTCCCATTTCAGCCCCGATGCAGCTTACATCAGCACTGCTGCACATGGACTCCCCAGGGTTAGAGGGTTAGCTAAGAGCAAGCAATCGGCCAGCAGCAGGAGAAAACACAGGGCGGCAACAGCCTCTCTATTCTTCTGGAAAGGGTAAGATGCTAGCCATGACTAACACCTTCTCAAACCCATGGTCATTAACAAATATTTCTGTGCATGCATCATCATTTGTGTATGTCTCTGGGAGTCTTGCTTGGGAAGTCAACTGAAGAGATGTAACTGGGGACCAGCTGCTAAGTGGAATCTTGGCAGGCTAGTGTGAGAGTGGGTATCGGTATTTGGAAGGGAACGTGCAGGAATACCGTCAGCTGATAGTGATTTTTTTTTTTTAACCCTGCACATTCCTGAGTATTTTAAAGCTGCACCATGGAAATAGCCCTATGCTTCACAGGCAAGAGGTTTGCCAAACTGGACAATTGTTGCTGAGTTTTGTTTTTGTTTTTTTTTTCTTTAGGACCCATTACCAACATCAGGAAGAACAATTAGTGCGGTCCAACAAAGGATGGGACTCGCTTTCTGTCGGAGCATTCAGGCGGATGGGGGGGGGGGGGTTGGCCACCTGTTGAGGAGGCTTTATAGGGAATTCCTGCATTGGGGGGGGTATTTAAAATGAGTGACCTTCAAGGTCACTTCCAACCCTGAGATTCCAAGATCTCTGGTAGGGATTGAACTGCATTCCAAAATGGGAATACTGTTCTCAGAGCCGTGAGAATCTCCGATTTTTAGGAATTATTTAATGGAGTGGCTTTTCCCTTTTCCTTTTTAAATTCTGACTTTTTAGTCTCAATTGAAGATGCCTAAAGCATATTCTAAACATGACAATGTTCAACTTTCAAGCATATGAGTTTGGCAGTGGTTAACTTTCATTCAATAACTTTTCTCATGACCCTCTGTACTCCCAAGGGTGCCTCTTAGCTTAAAAACAATTAAGAGCAAACCCCCTAGAAGTCAGGATTTCTAAGTCCACTTGTCTGGCTCACAAGTCTATATAGACTATATATAGACTATATATAGACTTGTGAGCTCTCGCTTTCTCACATATATATATATGAAGTCCTTCACAATTAAAGCAGCAGCTGGGGGGAACAGTGTGCCTAAAGTGTTACAGGCCAGGTAGTTTTTGGGCTAATAGTTCCAGTATCCAAAAGAAATGTGTGAAAAGAAGGGATAAAAGAGAAAGGACAGTCCTTGAAGCTAGGGACCAACTCATCTCCATATCATGCAAAATTCATCAGACATCCAACACTGTCATATATAACACGGTCACTTCATAAATGCTCTTGAGAGTAGTCTGTTGATTTGGATACACAGCTCTATTGCATGACACTAAACGAGGTACTTTATCTCCCTGAGCTTCATTTGCCGCATCTGTAAAATGGGAATAACCATCCTCTCTTGCAGGGTTCTGTATGCCAATTAGATGAAATGCTGCATGTGAAATGCTTAGCCACATCTTGGCACCCGGTGCTGAACAAATGTTAGCTATTCTTACTAGAACCTCCAGTTACCCCAGTCTTTTAAAAATCACTGGACTTGAATAAGCACTCGAACTGGGATTCTTCAATTCAAGGAAACCTAGTGTTTTAGTAACCAAAACTCATGCATGATTTTAAAAGTTCCAGTCAATTTAAGATGAGCTTCTTCTGGTCACTTTGGAAAGGTTATTGTCATCTGTTAACCCCCGCTTTTGGGGCTTCAGTGCACAACAGCACGCAGTGAGGCCCCAGAAAAGCACATGAGCATTTTTAAGCTTAGACGGGCGGGGCAGGGGGGGGCATGAACAGTGGGGCAACCTTTATTCTCACTTGGTGAATCTGATGAAATGTCTTCTAGACTTTTGGAAGGCATTTTCCTAGCAGCACTCCTTTCCAAAGTCTTCAAGACAGGACTGGGTTCTTCTTCTGAACCTGTTACGAGACACAATTGATGAACACTGCACAATACAAAAAAGATCCAAAAATCCTAACTCTTAACCAATGGACATTGGTATCATAGGTTGAGAGGTGGCATTATGTCAGAAGCCTCTATAGTTTTATTTACTCCATGAAGCACTTCTCAGAAAAAAGTAAAAATTCTCCACTCTTCGTATGTCCTTTAAAAACCATTTTCCTGGTCAAGAAACATTTGCAAGCATAAATCATAAAGGAACAAGATAACCACATAAATAGAAAAGTAATCTTTTAGTTGTCTACACCTCTATTTTAGGCACATGATTTGTTCTGTGCCAGACTTTGAATCTTTCCACTTCACTTCTAGCTTTTGAAGACAACCACAAAGTGGTTTTAGGAGCATAAAAACAATTAGCTGAAAACCACAGAAGGCAGGATTCAGATGTTTAACATCTGTGTATAATCAGGTACACAGATGGGCGAATTCTCCAGATCAACGGACTATAGGCTTTTGGGGATTCATGAGCTAGTAAAATTTCCAACAAAATGTTGGGAAATGACATGAGGTAGTCAACTTTTTATTTTATTAAGTCACTTTAAAGTGTGTGTGTGGGGGGGCTCTATCATGTACTAATAACTTTACTTATTTTTTTAAAAAGGCATGTTAGAAAAAAAAAAGGTCATATTAGGACCAAAAGAAAAAAAAAGAAAAAAGAAAAAGGGCATAACCTCAAAATAAGAACAGTCCTTTAAATTAAATACATCTAACGGTACAAAAAAATATCTCTAGGCGGTTCTTAACTTTTTTATTTGGACAGTGAAAACTCCATCATGGACGGATTAGCTCTGGTCTGAATATGGTCATTCATCACTGTTGTTTTATTAGTGCCTAGAACAGTGACTGGCAATAGGCACTTCAAAAATGTTTGCTAGGGGCACCTGGCTGGCTCAGCTGGTACAGAACATGACTCTTGATCTCAGGGTCATGAGTTCAAGCCCCACATTGGGCATGGAGCCTACTTAAAAAAAAAAAAAGTTTGCTAAATCAATGAATGATTCCATTAATGAGTCAATGAATTTGGGAACCACTTCTCTACACAATACTTTCCTGAAATGCATCCCAGTTCTCCCCAGTGTTAATAGGGCTTCTAGAGCAAATGGATTCTAAGATGAATTACATTTGGGATACTCTGTTCAAATTTAAAGGTTTCTTACTACAGATCTTCTTGGAGACTTTAATATGCTAAAAATATGCATAAATTCCCAGCATTTCCGAAAGTATTTGACCATGGAGACTTTTTTTTTTTTTAATTTTTAAGGACTATACTGAGGTATTGGTTGATTAGGAGCTCAGCCACAAGTCAAACATGTTAGATTGCTCACCAAAATTGTGGTGCCATTGTAGGCAGGTTCCTCCCCTCTCCAGCCCACCCACACCCACTTGTTTAAAAATAAAAATTTAGGTTAGGGTATATAAAACTACAACTGTACCATTTTATACCTCGTGTTGTCTTCTAACTTTTAAATATCTTCTCTGGGAAGGGGAACCCTCCTACACTGTTGGTGGGAATGCAAACTGGTGCAGCCACTCTGGAAAACTGTATGGAGGTTCCTCAAAAAGTTGAAAATAGAGCTACCATATGATCCAGCAATTGCACTACTGGGTATTTACCCCAAAGATACAAATGTAGGGATCCGAAGGGGTACGTGCACCCCGATGTTTATAGCAGCAATGTCCACAATAGCCAAACTGTGGAAAGAGCCAAGATGTCCATCGACAGATGAATGGATAAAGAAGATGTGGTATATATATACAATGGAATATTATGCAGCCATCAAAAGGAATGAGATCTTGCCATTTGCAACGACGTGGATGGAACTGGAGGGTATTATGTTGAGTGAAATAAGTCAAACAGAGAAAGACATGTATCATATGATCTCACTGATATGAGGAATTCTTAATCGCAGGAAACAAACTGAGTGTTGTTGGAGTGGGGGGGTGGGGTGGGAGGGATGGGGGGACTGGGTGATAGACACTGGGGAGTGTATGTGCTCTGGTAAGCGCTGTGAATTGTGCAAGACTGTTGAATCTCAGATCTGTACCTCTGAAACAAATAATGCAATATATGTTAAGAAAAAAAAAAAGAAGAAGAAGAAGAAGAAGAAGAAGGTAGCGGGAGGGGAAGAATGAAGCGGGGGAAATCGGAGGGGTAGACGAACCATGAGAGACGATGGACTCTGAAAAACAAACTGAGGGTTGTAGAGGGGAGGGGGGTGGGAGGATGGGTTAGCCTGGTGGTGGGTATTGAGGAGGGCACATTCTGCATGGAGCACTGGGTGTTGTGCACAAACAATGAATCATGGAACACTTCATCTAAAACTAATGTTGTAATGTAAGGGGATTAATATAAGAATAAAAAAATTAAAAAAAAATATCTTCTCTGGGCTCTGCTTGGGTGGTTATTTAACACTGATGATTTCATTTTTAGATAGGTTTTTTGCTGTTCAATCAGTTATGCTGATACACCATAAACAAAGCTATGTACCTTAGGGGCAACAGTCTCCAGAGTGAGTACAAATTTACAAGCTCTCCTATGGGTCAGTCTACCCTCCTCACTCACGGGGTAGTTTAGTAAAAGTCTCCTTCAGCAAGTTGAACATGCTGACATATACTCCTGCATATGTCTGGTTTCAGAGACTGGTATTCCACTTTCCTTTTCTTACCAGCAACCTTTGTAGCAGGGGCTTCAACTTGATTAATAGGATTTAAAGGTGATTCGTTTGCTCCGTTTTCAAGAAGAGGCCCTACCGTTACTTGCAAAGGAGACCAAACCTCACGAGTCATCCACCCAGGAAAGCTTATTCATTCTCATCAATACTGAGGGGAGCTAGAAAATGACAAATTTTCTAAACTGCTAGGAGGGCGACCGACACCAACTGTCGTGCAACTGTGGTTAAAACGTTCCAGCCAGAGAGCATCCTTTATCATTTCATTGCTATAATCGGGTAATTGTGCATTCCTATTTGCTTCTGGGTTTCTCTGCTAAAATGCCCATGTTGATCACCATAGCAAACTGAGACAAGGCCTGTAGTTTCCAGCCTGGCCAAAACCAGTACCCTCAAGCCCACTTAGATGAATGTGGTAATCAATTAAGATCTTCATTCACTTAGCCAAGGCAGGAGCCAAAGAAATGCAACAGGCCAGGCAAGGCCCTCAGGTGGAATCAGGTGAAGTCATCTGACCAAAGTCATACTCTAGAGAAGGGGGAGATTCTGCAGATAATTGAAAACAAGAGGAAAAGAGTGCCAACAAAACACCACAGCACAAGGTATCTGAGGGAAAGAAAGTTCCAGCCTTGCCCTCTGTTCCTGGTATTTAGCCACTACTGTGGTACGATATTCATCCTAAAAGGGAAATTTGTGCCCATTTGTGTGTGGCATTTTCTTGCCACAAATCTTACTAGAGACTTCTGTGTGGATTGCCAATTTAAGAAAGAAATTATTTCCAGGAGGAAAACTAGCTTGAATGTTTCAGAAGTACTTTCTAAACCCAAAAAGTTCTTTAAAAAAATACTTTTAAAACCTAAAAATTCTATTGTTAATGAGAATAAAGTCAGATTCTGAAACACTGCCTCGTGGGTAGAACTGTGATAAGAATTTGCCACCATTTCCATGTGTCATTTAATCCCAATTTTAAAAGCCCTATCATCCTTTACATCAGCATTCCCTAAATCAACTCATTAAACCAACGGGTTAAAAAATTCAGAATGCTCACTGGAGGTTTTTCTCCAGCTTTCTGCATTGGAACTCTTGTCGCCACCTGAAAAATCAGAATCAGAGAAATCTTTTTCTTCTTTTTTCTCTATTCTCTTACATGGTGATGCCAGAATCAATTCGACGTTACTTGTTTCTGTAGCATTTTCTGTGTTTGTCAGGAGAGGAATGGGTTGCCTATTTCTGGACATACTAATTGCTTTAGGAGCCTCTTCCAAGCCAGGCTCCTGAGAAGCCCCTTCTTGAACCCCTGCAACCTCACTTTCACTATCCCTGTCTTCTGCAGGCTTTATAGTTTCAGTGATCCCTATTTTATGTTCCACATAGAACTGCAGGGTTCCAAGGATCTCAAGCCCACTTTCAGAACCACAAAGATCTACTGATAAATCAGTCACAGCTTTGTCACCTCCCAACACTTCATCACACTGGTTGACTTGTGATTTGAAAACATTACTCATAAGCTTCATTTCAGAGGCCTCTGAGGCTGTCCAGTCAAAATGGGGTACTGTCCTCAAGAAACTGGCCTGCTTTGACTGGGAAGGCTCCTTCTCAGGCTTTTCTTCTTTCACTGACACCTGGAGCTGGTAAGAAGGAGCTTCAGGTGCTTCTCTAAAAAGTTTCTCAAAACTAATATCAAAAGTACTCTCAGTGATTAATGGAGTCTCAGACTTTTTTACTGTTTCTTTGATTTCCTCAGATTGAAATTCAGAAGCAGCTTGCCTGGACACCTCAGCCCTACCTGTTAACTTTGATGGAGAAAGAGTCCCTGGATCACTTTCATATTTTGAGGAGGGGGTTTCAATTACTTCCTTCAGTAGTTTTTCTAAGCCAGCACTGAATTCTAGGAACTCTGATTTAGGTTGAGTAACTGTTTCCCTCACAATTTCTGCCATTTCCTGAGGTAACTCTTTGCCACGCTGACTAACAGTGGAACCACATGAGCGACAGGTTTGTTCTGATGGAGGTATTCGGGCAGCTAAATAAGATCCAACGTTATGAGTTTTATCAGGGACTACTTTGAAGGAATAGAAATCATTTCTGTCTGGCACTGTAATGTCCATTGTAGCCCATGGTGTAGAATTTTGGGGGCTACCTGCTGCCTGTACTCCTTCAGGAAATTCTGCTTGTACTTCTCCAGGAACTACTTCCCTCCCAACTGGATAACAAGCTTCTCTCAGTAGCTTTTGTAATATAGCATTTACATCATTCGAGGCAGTTTTAGGAGGAAGAATGACTTTTTCAACAGTCTCTGAAATTTCCCTTCGCAAAGGTAATGCCTTATCCTGGGGAGCAAGATGAGCATCCCTGGAAGAAGGCATCTCTTGGGGAGAGTTGGCCACATCCCCAAAAGAATCTTTTCTGTAAAGATGGGAAGGTTGACCCGATGGGTGAGAACCTTCTGCGACCACCTGACGTAAGTCCTCCATGCTTAGTTGGCACTCACCACTTTCAGTTTTCTGGGGGAGAGCTGTATTTACCAAAGTTTCGTTCCCCTTTGGAAAAGGAGCTATTATCTCTTTCTGATAGGCTGATGTGCTGCGACTCCATTCTATCCCTTTTTCATAAACTCTACCCTCTTCAGGTTCAGAGTTGATCCTAGTGGTAACAGGTTCCAACACAATTGGCAAGGGACAGGGTGAAGTTACAGGTGCTTCCTTTAGGAGTTTGTCTAGACTAGCAGTCAAAGTGTTCGGCTTAACCTTTGAAGGAGCTACTGTTTTGTCTACATGCTCATTAATGGTCTCCTTATGTCCTTTGTCATCTTCTTCAGTCTCAGCAAAATCTGTATCTTGAGGCCATCTCTTATTTCCAGAAATATCTGGTTCAGACATTTGTTTTCCATGAACTTTTCCACGCGAAGGAGGCATGGCTAGTGATGAAGCTTCTGAAAGTAGCTTCTGTAAGCTGTCATTAAAAGTGTCTTTGTAGTCTTTAGACAAAACACTTGTTTTAACTATGGATTCTTGAATCTCTTGGTCTGAGTAATCCTTTTCTTCCTCGAACACTGGCGTAACAAACCATTTCGTATTCTTTTCCACATTTTCCTTTGATGACTCATTTCCTGGCAAATGATGAGTAGACTTTCTGGATGGTCCCAATGGAAACGTGGTTCCATCTGATAACACCTGGCATGTGCACTTTGAATTTAATTTCTCTATTTTCTCTCTTACCAGAATTTTTTTTTTACCTGGAAGCATCCCTATTTCATGGGTATTCTTTCCTGATGATTTAATGTCACTGAATTCTTTGTGTTTCTGGCTATTAAAAGGCACCAAATATTTTTGGCTTATCGTGTTAGTATTCTTCTCAACATTTTCTTGACTGTTTGGATTGGCTCCTAAGCCCCAAAACTTTCTCAAATTCTCAAATTGAGAGTGATTATAGACCTGTTCTGTATTGGATTCATCCATTCTTTCTTTTAGGGACTTAACTTTAAAGTTGGGATTTGATTCACTGATTAGAGATTTGTCTTTCTCCAAAGGAGTATGCATTCCACTCCCAATATTTGAAGGATGTTGCCCAGCTGGTAAAGTAATATCCCTTTCATAATGCCAACTCTCTGCCACTGGCAATCTTTTTATAGGCTCATTTATCTTATTCTGAAAGGGAGACACTTCACCTGATTGGTCAACTGAAGGATAATTTTTGGATGGACCGGATATCTGGGGCCTGGTCTCTTTAGGTTTATTCGAGGAATAAAAACTGGAGAGATGGGCTGTGTGGCCATTCTCATCTAGGACCACTTGTTTGCTAGTGACTTGATTATATTCACACTGGCCTGTAGATAAACTGTCCATGGACTTCACAGGCTGATATGCTTTAGTCGAAGGTTGCCCTTGACTGCATGACAATGTGGGTTCTTTATGAGTTAACTTAGCAGCAGCTTTCTCACCTTCCCAGAAAGATATTCTTTCACTTACTCTTTTGTACTTCTGTCTTTGCACTTGGTTCTTGGGAACCTCACCAGCTTCTTTTAACTGGACCTCAGGCTTCTCCCAAGATTTGTTTTTGGTAGCCCCATGTAGTGACTCAATATTCTCTGGTTCTAAAGAAGCTTTCAGGATGTGTGGATCTCCTCCTTTGCTCTCTCTCTCTGCCTTCATGTTCTCTTTCAAACTTGTTTTTTTGACAAGTATTATAGAGTCAAAATTCACTTCTGAGTTTCCTCTATTTTTTTCATAAACATGAAGCTTAGGCTCTTCTTCATCTAAGCTGCCAACATCCTTAATGTTGCATGGAACTTGGTGTTCTGCATCAGGTCCTTTGAGAGCACTGTAGGAATTGTTACTGATTGGAGTAAGTACTCGATTTCCTTCTCCTCTGTTTTTTGAAACTTGGCTAGAGTCCATAGTTTTACTCCCTTGATTTGGGCCATAGATTTCACATGGTTGAAATATGGCTGGACCTTCCTTGCCTTGTTGGGACAAATGAATGGATTTGGGTTTGATATTCACATTATTATTTTGGCAAGTCCTAGAAGGCAGTGTATTTACCTTTCCCTGGAATGTTGAATCAGATTCCATAGGCATCAATTTAACTTTGGTGGGTAACAGAGCCTTTGAGCCATTTTCTTTTAGAATGGTGTCATCTCTCACCAAGGCAGTAGCAATCGGTGATTCTGTTTCTTCTTTCAGCTCTATTCCTTGGGGATGTTGGAGAGATGACTTATTGTCTTCTGAATGAGAACTTCGATTAAACCAGTCTAGGACTTTAGATATGGAATCGTCAGTTGTCTTCCTTATCTCAGTGGCAAATGGACCAGAGTGTGAGGACGTCCTAGCTTTTAGGGCCTTGAGAAGAGGGGGCTTACCTTGCTGATGGTCTCTAGAACTGTGATCTGGCACCTGAGATGGCTCAGGCTCAACACAAGACAGTCCATCTGCAACACAGAAATGCTTTTCTAAATAAGGAAAGAGAATGCTTAAAGAATTATCATTCAATCACTCACATTATCTTTTAAAGAGGCACTTTGTATTTATATTTTCCACACCACTAGCTGTTTCTATCAGCATTTTTCAGGATATTAATTAATTAATTATATCCTAATTAAGATATTCTACCAGAGTTGCTCTGACAGTAAAGGAAGGTAAATGTAGATGCCTGAGGTATGTGGTATAGACCCAGTTGAGAAATTCTTTTGACGTCTCTGATTTATTCTGAAAATTCATATGGGGGTGCCTGGCTGGCTTGGTCAGTAGAGCATGCTAGTCTTGATCTCAGGGTCATGAGTTTATACTCCACATAGGGTGTAAGCTTAATTAAAAAAAACTCACGTGGATTTTGTATTCTGATCCATGTTACACTTTTTTAAAAGATTTTATTTGAGAGAGAGAATGCACACGCATGTGTGCGCAATAATGGGAAGAGGGGCAGAGGGAAAGGGAGGGAGAATTCCAAGCAGAATCCCCACTGAGCATGGAGCCCAACATGGGACTGGATCTCATGAGCCTGAAATTATGACCTCAGTCAGCAGAAACCAAGAGTTGGATGCTTAACTGACTGAGGCACCCAGGTGCCTGTGATCCATGTTACTTTTAAATATTACTTTTCTTCTACTCTCAAATCTATGCATAAAACTTGACACCATAGGAAGATGTGCCATGTTGATTTTATGACTCCACCCATCCACTGGCATACTCCTAAACACTAGAGGTGGCTTATACCGAGTTTGAGGAACAAAGACCAAGGAGAATTTCAGGAGTTGGGAAAAAAACTTTCTGGAGCTCCCTCCAGAATATCAGAATGGTACAATGAGGATATTTGTATTCCTGGGCCTTCCTCTTGATAGATTAAACCAGAATCTTGGAAGTGGGGCCAGGAATCTTTACTAACAGCTCTCCCAGAGATTCTTCTGCATACTGGAGTTTGAGGACCATGATCTCAAGAGGCTCCTCTATTATCCCCTGTTTCCCTTCTACAGTTTGTGAGTTTCTAAGTAGTTTCTGTGAGCCAAATAAATGAAACAAGACTGATGCAGAATGTGATCTTCACCCATTCCCTGATGTTGGCTGACCAATGGCTAAGATGCTCGGAAAGGTTATTTAAGCTCTAAGCTATCAAGAAAGCAGAGAGAATCCTTTCTGAGCCTTAATCAAAGGGCACATGGGACACTTAGATAAGGGAGTTAGGCACCCACCCCTTTAGTTAACACCCAGGTGTTTCAGCATTCCTCCCTCTTCCTTACAAATGCTAAGCCATGCAATGCATGTTGCTGAAAATTATGTCAGCTGAACTTTTATGAAGTCAGCTACATTTCAAATGCACTAGAGGACATATCCGTTAATAAAATTCTATCTTTAATTTTAATCATCAACTCTGGCTAAGTGTGAAAACAACAAAGTGTTATACAATAATGGGCACGTGGCAGATCTTGGTTTCCTTAACTACACATTGTACTATTGAATATATGTCAATAATTGTGAAGTTCTTTTGAGATATCTTAAAGAATTCTGTGTTCATTTGTTTAACCGAAGACAATGATGAAAAAATGCTTATAATATACTATTAGTAAAAAAAGAATTCTAGCAGTATAAACATAATTTAAGATTATATTCATGCTTGAAAATTATTGAAAGGCTCTACAATGAAATGTCAGCAATACAGTAGTTAGTGCTGGATGATGACATCACAGATGGTATTTGTTTTATTCTGTGTGCATTTCTTCTTTTCAAATGTTTTACAACAAAAGTGTATTTCCTTCGGGGCCCCTGGGTGGCCCAGTCATTTGGCGTCTGCCTTTGGCTCAGGTCATGATCCTGGGGTCCTGGGATCAAGCCCCACATCGGGCTCCCTGCTCTGTGGGAAGCCTGCTTCTCCCTCTCCCACTCCCCCTGCTTGTGTTCCCTCTCTCACTGTGTATCTCTCTGCCAAATAAATAAATAAAATCTTTTTTAAAAAAAAGTGTATTACTTTTAAAATAAGAACAGTTATTTTAAAGATTTGATGCCAGGCAGTGTTCCATCTTCTCTGTATTTTGCAGTGTAGTAATGAATGTGATATTGACTGTCCTGAAGGTCAGAGCTAAAGTCAAACCTTTATAATTCACATACTTTGCATTTACCATTTTTGGGGGCCTGGTTTTCTTTCTGTGTTTCATTATTTACTTGTATATATTTTTGTGGTAAGCAGGGCATTAATAAGTAAGCAGAACTTTGTATATAAGCTCTAAAGCTAGGAGACCTGTCAATCAAAATAGGTGTAGCTGGGGATGCCTGCTTGGCTCAGTCAGTTGAGCGTCTACTTGGGCTCTTGTCATGATCCCTGGGGTCCTGGGATCAAGCCCCTTGTTGGGCTCCCTGCTCAGCAGGGAGTCTGCTTTTCCCTCTGCCCCTGCCCAGGCTCTCTCTCTAAGAGAAAAAAAAAATCTAAAAAAAAAAAAAAAATATATATATATATATATATATATCTGATGATGTCTTCCTCCCAAATTTCATGGTCAGCTGGGACTTAAAAATCAGAAAGCACAGGGTTGCCTGGGTGGCTCAGATGGTTAAATTCCCACTCTTGATTTTTGCTCAGGTCATGATCTCAGGGTCATGGGATTGAGCCCCGTGTTCGGTTCAGCACTCAGTGGGAAGTCTGCTTGAGATTCTCTCTCTCTCCCTCTGCCCCCCAACTCATGTGCTTGCTCTCCCTCTCTAAAATAAATAAATCTTTAAAAATAAAAATCAGAAAGCACAAATAAGTAGTTAGTTTATAAAATTATAAAGATAGTCTTTAGTCTGTGGGAAAGCAGGTACAGTTTGAAAAACAGGAAAGGTTTACCAAATTTTTTCTGTGGATGATAGTAAAGGATAGTAAAGGAAAATATTATTAAAGAATTTTTTCATCTTTTGAATAAACATTTAAATAAGCACCATCCAATTATTTGGCCATGTTTATCAAACTTTAGGAATTTTCTTTAATATGAGGGGTTTTTTCATTGAAGAAGCACCTGCTAATTTTTAATTAAAAAAAAAATATTCCTGTTCAAATGATTAAAATGTCTGGGGCATAGGGGGATAATTGGAAGTGCTTTGCTCTTTAAGAAGTGGATTGATCTGAACAAGTGTGAAACTGTAGGGCTGAGCAAAAGTGACCCAGGGTTAACTTAATATTGACTAATAAGGAAGGAGGAGACCAAGTGCATCAGACGTGTGACTGCTGCCATTGTAAATTTTCCTGACTATAAAGAAATTACCATAGGGCTGGAGGAAGACTTAGAGAAGATGGGAGAGAATACACAGCATGATTTTTTCCATTGTTCCTGTTTTTTTAAAACATAAGAATTATGAAATAATCGTATGGGTATGGGAAAACAGTGTCTCATCCCTTGAGAGGTATAAGATCTCCAAGACAGGGCTAGTTAGCTAGGTAGCAGGGAAAAGCAGTATTCTCTTTGCCTCTCAGCTCACAGCAGCTGAAGGAGAAAGTTCCATCAGCACTTTTAACATCTAAGAACAAATGGCTAAGAAAATGAAGGTTGGGGGCATCTGGCTGGCTCAGTCGGTTAAGCATCTGACTTTGGCTCAGGTCCTGATTTCAGGGTCCTGGGATCAAGCCCCGCATTGGACTCTCTGCTCAGCAGGGAGTCTGCTCGTCCCTTTCCCTCTGCCCCTCGCCCTACTCGTGCTCTGTCTCTCTCTCAAATTAAAAAAAAAAAAAATTAAGGTTCTTCTGAGATTAAAAAATCTGGGGGGCCTGGCCAGCCAGCCAGTGGAGTGTGCAGCTCTGGATCTCGGGGTCGTAAATCCCAGCCTCACGTTGGGTGTAGAGATTACTTAAAAATAAAATCTTTTAAAAAAAATCAAAGTTTGATTAAATAGTAATTGATAAATATGCATTAGGTGAATAATATATTCTGTACAAAGGTATTAGCATATATTTAATTCTTACTCTATATACACACTTTGATTTAATTCAAAACACTGCAATTTGTTTGGTTAAATATTTGATAGTTGAATTTTTTAGAGAAAAGCATAATGGACCAGAAACTATCCTGGTTTTAGTTTTAGTTATCCCTTTAGTTATTGATGATTGAGGAAAACCTCCAAACCCATTAAGAGGCAGCATAATCATTCCCCAGTGGCACCTGCCTGAATTGTAGCTGGAGTGTCTAGGAGGCCAAATGGGGCTTCTATAGGACTGGCCTGGCCATTCCAAGCCCATTGGTTTGGTTTTTATAGTCTGGTAGTGACAACTCTCTTACCAGCAGGGCTTTTGGACAATTCTGATTCAAGCCTTGATAATTCTGATGGTTTAGCTTTGTGTTCATTGGTGGTGGATGAATTTTCAACAGACTCTGGTCTTGGAGTTAAAACTTCTAAGGGAGAATGGTGCCCATTCATTGGAAAAGAACCAGAAGTCACTTGCTGCTGTGTTCCATTTTTTGATGCACTTGGGCTTGAGGCTGACTGATGTAAAGGCAAAGGCTTCCTGTATTGGGAAGGCTTAGGGTCATTCCAAAACTCATCGACGTCCACATTATCTTCCGTTCCATTCTTTAACCTGTCAGATTCTAAAACACTAAATTCTCCTACTTCCCAGCCACGGCTTAGCCCAGGACTCTGCGGGAGCTCATCCTTCACTGCAGAGAATCTCACATGCTTCAATGACTCCAGGGAGTTTGAGGAGTCATCTTCTAAAGAATGCTCCTTCTCAGAAATTCTCTCATGGATGGTGAGGCCAGGGGACACAATTTTGCTTTTGGGTTCCAAGTTCTGATGAAAACGAACTGTTTCTGAGTCTGTGCTGCTGGAACTGGAGTTGCGTTTCAGGATCCCCCTGGGAGCCCGCCTCGTGCTCAGGGAGTCTGTCCTTTGTCGAGGAAAAGACTGGTTATCTTCTTGCTTTAACTCATGTGATTTGGGGAGAATTTTCCTGGCTTTGGGGATTGGAGCTTTGACCGGAGATCCATTCTCGGAGCCTGGAAATGTCTGCTTTGGTTTCTCTAAATTTTGGCTTGAAGTATCTGGGATAGATGAGTTTTCTTTTGACTCTGACAATTCACCTGTAAATTAAAACACATTAGGTGACATGTCAAATGGAGAATAGCTCTAATACTTAAAACACCTCACATAAACTTAATCTACATGTAGCAAAAGCAGTAAAATATTAAAGAAAATAAGGTATTATCCTAAGTGCAGACCTAATTAAAAAGCACTTAAAAATTCAGGCATGAACTTCATTGACCTGTACATTTAAGATTCCTGTGCCTTATATACATACTTTGTGGTATTTTTATACTCAATAAAATAGTTTTTAGAAAAGATTTCTAAAATTCCTTAAGGAGGCTAAGGAAAAACACAGAAGCCACTTTAAAAATTTACATATGGAAACCAGAAAAAGGAACTCAATTTTCTTTTCTTTTTTTTTAAGATTTTATTTATTTTTTGAGAAAGAGAGAGAAAGAAAGGGCACGAGCAAGAGGAGGGGCTCGATCCCAGGACCCCCGGGATCATGACCTGAGCTGAAGGCAGACGCTTAACCGACTGAGCCACCCAGGCACCCCAAGGAACTCAAATTTCTAAAAAAAATCTTAATTTTTTAAAAAGAAAATCTCTAAAACAAAAATTAATTTTTTCAGGGACTCCTGGGTGGCAATAGTTGGTTAAGTGTCTGACTCTTGGTTTCAGCTCTGGTCATGATCTCCGAGTGGTGAGATCAATCAGGTTGGGCTCTGCGCTCTTCATGGAGTCTGCTTTAGACTCTGTCTCCCTTTCCCTCTGCCCCTGCCCTCCTACTCTCTTTCTCTCTCTCTCTCAAATAAATCTTTAAAATAAAAACAAAAATTAATTTTTTTCAGAAAGTTAAAAAAACAGGTAGCATGTTCCATTGCCTTTTTTCTGTAAAATATTTTACATAATATAATGTGTATCCAATAGAGAGGGGGAAATATGCTAATATTAAAACAGGATAACTGAAACTCCAACTCCACTGTTCAATGTTAATTTTCTATCCCTCATCCAATCTTTAATGCGTGTGGAATCTTCTTTTTTTTTTTTTTAAGATTTTTTTATTTATTTGACAGAGAGATATAAGAGCACAAGCAGAGGGAATGGCAGAGGGAGAGGGAGAAGCAGACTTCCTGCTGAGCAGGGAGCCCGATGCAGGACTCGATCCCAGGACCCTGGGATCATGACCTGAGCCGAAGGCAGACGCTTAACCATCTGAGCCACCCAGGCGCCCGCGTGTGGAATCTTCTTACAGTTGCATTTGAAGAGACTGAATTGTCTAGTATTTCTTCTTAATGGCACAGAAGAATGGTAAAATTCCCTAAGAGGCAGACTTAAATCAATTAAGCCACCAAACCTGATCAAATGCCTCCTCAGGGACCAGGCTGATAATTACAGATTAGAGGATCACAACTTTGTCAAGTGGCTTTTTTTTCTCTTGAGGTGAACTCTTTTAATTTCACACAAACCATGTCTGCATGTGGCAGACATCCAATAAGCGCCATTACATGAATGATTGAATGCCTCTGGTCAAAAAATTCCCTAGTTCACTGAGAGGGAACCTAAGGCCCGGAGGTCAAACGACAAGTGTCAGCTCCAAGACTGGAATGCATGAACTTCCAGTTTCTAAAATGTCTGCTTCCTTCCCTCAGGCAGGAAACCAATGGGCATAGCACAATAAGAAAACTATCAGGACTTTTCACTTTCTCTTGAAAGTTATTTTAGTTAAAGGAACTCTGAGAATTTCCCTCAGCCCACAGATAACAAAGATAAAAATATCTAGTCCATAAAAATAATGTTTACCTTCTTTTGAAGTCTGAGAGAAACCAGCCTTTCCATTTTGTGATGGCTCACTTTTGGTTTGTTGAGATAAGTGATCTTCTGGCAACTTGGAGCTATTAAATGGATTTTTCCTTTGCTGGGGAAAAATATTGTTTATTAAACTCATTTTAAATGTCACAGCAGCAACTCAGTGTTAGCAAGTGCCTATTATCTCCAGTATTGATAGTTTTATCCAGTAAACTCTATCTGGCCTGTTTGAAAAATTGCTGTCCTGGTTAATGTGGCCGGCACAGAGCTACCATATATGCCAGAGAAAAATTAAACTATAAAATACACTCAATCCAGAGTCCTATAACGTTAAACCAGAACCAGGCATTTGAATCTAAACCTCACATTTTACAAAAGTGAGAAAATTTGGACCTGGTCAAGGTTAGGGTAAACCTGAGACTAATCAGGGGCAGATTCCCCCCATGCTCTTTCTACCATATGAGACTCTTGCTGTACTAGATTAAAGCTGAACTAAATATAATTGTAAATGACCTTTCTTATAAAGAATTAAAAGATACTTACCAAGGTATTTGAAGTGCTTCATTATCACTATTATGATCATCAATTCCAATGACACAAAGGGGATCAGTAAATAAAATTTTTTACTAATATAAAACTGAGTATCAATGTTTACTGCCTAGAGTTTCTTTTTTTTTTTAAAGATTTTATTTATTTATATGAGACAGAGAGAATGAGAGACAGAGAGCATGAGAGGGAGGAGGGTCAGAGGGAGAAGCAGACTCCCCGCCGAGCAGGGAGCCCGATGCGGGACTCGATCCCGGGACTCCAGGATCATGACCTGAGCCGAAGGCAGTCGCTTAACCAACTGAGCCACCCAGGCGCCCCTGCCTAGAGTTTCATAAACTGGCAATCCCCTCCCACAAGCAGACCTCTAACAGAGATTCAGGAAGCTAAGAACAGGAATATGGACTGATACGGGACTAACAAGTCACATTCCAAATGCTTAAAAAGCGGCAGTCCCCAATAGCATGAGATTTTTTATTCTCTAGGGCAAAAAATCAGTCTTCAGCAATGCAGAAACATGGTATTCATCAACTTTTCCACCACAAGAGTGACTTCTTACATTAAACAGTAAAAATCATCTGTATTTGTTGCAAAAAAAAAAAAAATCCTCTTCACTTCATGGTGCTTTGCTAAAATGAGAAAAACGGCATTCTTGCCAAAAATGATATTCGGAGTCTGATCTCAATCTACCTTAGCCGGAGACACAGCTGACTTCTTTGTGTTTTCCTGGGATGTATCCATCACGGTGGAGGCTTGATTTACCAAGACAGAACTGCAAAAGAAACAATAATTCAGAGAATAAGCCCTCCCCCTGCATCTAAAGCTGAAAGCTATTAAGGAAGGACAGCAGAGGACGTTTGTAAAACTGAACTGCCAGGAAGGGAGAGGGTGTTGGGGCCTAGAGATGATTAAGCAGTGAAGCAAAGGCAGGGGCAGAGCAGAAAGGAGAAAGACAGGGATGAGGCAGGCAAAACCATCCAGCAGAAGCCGTCAGTTTTTATCATGGTACCAAGCACAGGAGAGGTTCACAATGTAAATGTGTAGAAATGAACTCATCTCCAAGTCAGAAGCTAACATCAGATGCAGATGACAGGGAGCAACTCATCTCAAGGCAGGGTCGGAGGTGGGGTATGTGTGTGGGGTGGCGCAGCGGCGGACGTCATTGCTGAAATAAAGCCCCAGAGTTTCAGGGAGGGCTTGATTTCACAGAACAGCATGCTTACGCTAACTCAGGCAGGAAATAACCAAAGAAACGATTCAGGTGAGACCAGTGACTTGACAGCAGATCTAAGGGATGCTGTGCAGGGATGCTGGTGCATCCAGGCAACTTGCTGAGGACTCTCAACCCCACTCTCCAGGCTGGCCAGCAAGGTCTTGTTCAAATACCGGAGGGATAAGGCCAAGCACAGCAGCCAGAAGAGGATGAGAAAATAGAAGCCTGGAGCTGGCTCAGAAGAAGGAAGAAGATTCTCTACCCAAGGGACTAGGCAGCCCCAGGACGAGAGCAAGGTGGGAGTAAATGGAGAAAAGTGAGTTGAGCAGGCCTCCCTCCTGAACAACCAGTCCCATGGATACTGAGGAAGAAGGAACAAAGAGAGTCAGAGTGGCTCTCGAGGGGAAGGAAAACCACCTGCTCAGACTTCCCGCTCCAGGGGCCTTGCCTCAGGCATGACAGGTGAAATCTCTATTGGCTGAAACCACTGTACACACTTAGACTCCACCTGTTCTCTTAGTGACATCACAGAGTCAACAACTTGGAAAATACCTTGGAAGGCACAGGCTTTCTACCATGCAGCAAAGGAACTGGACCTTGGGGAAGGAGAGAAACCTGCCCCAAGGCCACAGAGCCTGGCCCAAGAATATGGTGGCTGCAATCGTGAGCAACAAGTCCCTGCGGCTTCCTTTCCTTTCCTTCCTTCTGCACATCAATTGTTCTTTTTGCACAGACTTAGTCCCGGGAAGAGGCTGAACCTCTGAGGAAGCCGTTCTTCTTTTCATTACCCTCCACACTGTTCCAGAAAGGAATTACAGCAGATGAGGCAGATGTATATAAAATACATCTTTATCAGGTGGATGTGACAAAGAGGGGTAAAAGGATGGGGCGGGGAAGGGCAGGGAAGGGCAGGGAACAAGAATGGGAATTTATAATGGAGCCAGAATTAAGGCTAATAGAAAAACACATTATAGGAGGTGATTCTTAAAACAGATGGGCACACACTTCTATCAAGTTGTCTAGCAGCCACTGTAAAAAAAGGACCTGGTCACTAAGAGAACTCACACTGTCCGTACAATAAAAACAGCCAAGAGCCCAGGACTAGAAAGCTATTTCTCTTGACTGCCATTTTAAGGAACCACGGAGTGACATGAGGAAACTTATAGCACATGCCAGCCTGTTTTTTAGAATGTTTTATATCATCTCCTTATAAATAAAGCAGTTACATGATCAGAGGACCTGAATCCAGTGTTGCTGGTTGGGGCTGTCCATGGAACACCCATTTTCTCCTGCCACCTTCCTCCTTTCCCCTCCCACTCACCAACAACGAAGGATAAGCAGGGATGCGACACTTTGCCCTCTCTGCTCCTTGGAAACCCAGCTCCCGTGCCTCCCGGGCTCCAGCTCTGAGTATGTATATTTCACATCATAAAACCAGACATGAGACCAGTCTCTCTCTTACTAAACTTTATCCAGCAATGTGCCTCATGTCTACTATGCAACCTCATTCTGCGTACATACCTTATCTCTCATAGTAAACGGGAGATCCCCCAGGAGTACCATCTTGACCATCTTTATAACCCCCTGCGATACCATGTAGAGCAGCTGGTACAAAACTAGAACTGGTGAACAACTGAAAAGATGAAGGCCACTGAGCCAGGGCCAGGGAAGGCAGCAGCAGATAGGTAACCATGATTTTTCCTTTATTTTTTTCATGTTACTTGCCAAACAACAAGTAGGCACATTATTTAGGTGTGTGTGTTTTTTTTTTTTAAGCCTTTGTTTCTATTAGCTCAGAAAGCAAAGAGAGGAAGGAACAACACATTCAGAGCACATGGTCAGTCACTAAAATACAGAAACACACAGTATTCACCAGGTTACCGTGTGGTTGGGAGAGGGGAAAATGAGATGGGGTTGGGACACATGGTTAGCTACTTGGTTAGTCTGCTTAGAAAAAAATGAAAACAAGAATCTTAGGCCTCAAAGTCTGTCTGTGAAAATACAGTGACTTCTTAGATTAAGCTCTGTCTCTACTCCTTCTGAGGAGCACAGCAATGTTTTGCGTGCCTGCCTATTCATTGGGAAACATCATTACTACAACCTTCATATCTCCAACTGGTTTTTGCAACATCCCTATGAGGTATGTACCCTTCTCCCCATTTTACTTATGAGAAAACCGAGGCTTGGGGAGCTAAGGAACCTGCTCAATGTCACAAAATGAGTTAATGAAGAGCTGGGGATTTGAGCCAGGTGTCTGACCCTGACCCCAAAGACAATCACAGTCATGGCTAGGCTATCCTGCCTCTGACTTCTCACATTAATAAAGCAGTGGTTCAGAGCAAGAGGGCTGAGGTCCAGGTGATTCTTCCTTCCCAGGGATTCTCACATTCATCATTTCCTTTCCACCTGCACTGTCACCTCCTGAATTTCTGTGGACTCAATTAGCTTCACATCCGACCTCCTGATTCTCAAATTCCACTCCTCTCATCCACTCAGCATTCTGCCACTAAGCTGGGATGGTCTCACACACAACTTTGACCATATCGCTCTTCTGCTCGTTTCTTTTCCCTGGATCCCCAGGGCCTGTGGAATGAAGTCTGAACTTGTCAGGAAGGAACTGGAGATCCTCCACCATCTACCCAATATACTTCTACACTCTTCCTTCCTGGTGACCCTTCATGCCACACGAAGTTGCCTCTCTACTCATTATCCCCAAAACTCCCTCAACTGGTTGCTATCTGCACTCTGCCTATCCCCCAGCCCTGCCTTCGCATGTTTGCTGTGCTCTCCGCCCAAATCCTTGCTGTCATCTCCAAGCCCCAGCCAAATCTCACCGCCCTATGATGCTGCTCTTCTATCAGCCCAGCTGGAAGTGGGTCTCCTTGTCTCCAATCTTACAGCACATTTCCTTGGTACTTTGGAGTAGGAATTTGCTCTCGGCCTGGCACTATTTGTTATCATGTGATCAGACATCCACATACGGATGCATAATTTTTCCTACGAGAGTATAGTCTCTTTATAGCCAGATACCTTGTCTTTGTTTCTTGAAATCCCTCTCGGAGGCAGTAGACTGTGTCCTGCATATAAAAGATACCCAATACATTCCATAAGATGAGCTTTTTAAACTGTAGCAAGCCAAATTCCCCACCCTGTGCTTGTAATTATTCCCTCAGGCACCTTTCAAAAACTACCTGCAAGACCAGAAGGAACACTTAGACAAAATGGGTTTACTTTGTTAAAAGAATTATTAAAATATTAACTTGTGATATTGGCATTAGGGTTCAAAGTATCTGCATTTTAACACAAGTCTCTGAAGACTTCACTCTAAAGAATAATCATGTTAGGTACTGTTCCAGGGACACTGGGGAAAGAGGAGGTGGGGCTTCCCATCACACCACGCAAGCAGCTGGACACTCCATCTGCTTCTGCGTCCAGCCCTAAAGTGCTCCAAAGCACATGAAAGCAACTTTTAAAAGCTTTTGAACCTTAACTGGCCTTTCTCTCTAAAAAAGTGAAAAATAACAGCCAACATCTTATGCCTTCTTTTGAGGCATTTTGCAGCTTAAATACTAACAGTGTTGAATCAGAAGCAAATTGGGCAAGTGATTTTTTTCACATGTCATTGTTGTTGCTGGCCTCTCCCTTTGGACGGTGAGATCCTTGGAGCGAATGCTGTATCACATCCCCGGCGTCCAGCACCATGCTCTCCTATGTTACACTCTGTGACGCTCCAATACATGAATAAACAAAAGAAATGGCTCAGGAATAAAGTGAGGGAAGTAAATTAGAAAATATGCTAGGCCAGGACTTTCAAGTCGGTATTTTCTTAAAACATTACTTCTCTGGGGGCACCACACTGCACGCTACAGAATTTCTCTCACACGCATATTCTCAGCCAAGTGTAAGACACTCTGATGTCATAGTGCAGCTATTTCCACCATAAGTGATCTGGGTAAATCCAAGATCCTATTGGGTTAAGAAAGATTGTTTTAAAGAGCTCCACAGAAGTGGTTCTGTGGGGCAGGCCTCTAAGAAATGAAACGGTCACGTCACTGGAGAGGCAACATATCCAAGGACAAAAGATCAAATGTGCTGTCCATAGATTGGCTCATCTCTACCTTGACTTTGGGAGCAAGCCAAGTGCCTCACATTGCTCTTATTATTGAGGGGATGGAGGTAAATAGCTAATCCTTCTGTGAGATAGAGATGGGTGGGGGGAGGGAGAGAGAAAAAGAGATTGAGATTGAGAGAGAGATAAACAAAAGCCTTCCAGGGAAAAGAACATTAGTAGAAAAAATAATACTGTTTCAGAACTAAAGACATGGTTTGAATTGCTTGGTTCCCATTCAGCAGAAGGTAAGAGGGAGATCTGCGGCAGAAGTATTGCTGAAGCACAGGCAGCGAAGCTTCAAAACTAGCATTTTTATTCATTAGGACAACTTAGAACAAAAGTGTTTTTAATTCCACCAAAGACAAAGTGAGGTGAGGACACCCAGCTTCCCTTGTAAGAAAACTCATTGCTTTCTCCCATGTCACAGGGAAGTGCTAATGCCACGGAA